CTCATATTGACCTTCCCACATAAAAAATCTGCAAGCATATGGTGTCTGCAAAAAAAAAAGATTGAATCAATAGACCAAACAACAAAAAATCGAATGCAACTAATTCTAAAGCATCTACTCACATGCTCAAGATTAGGGCACTTCACAAACTTCTTGTTTGGATTCTTCAGGGTCCTTGACGTTCATTCTTCCAGGTGGGTCCCGCACAATGGACAATTGCCCAAGAACAACTCACCGGTGCGGCGACAAACAGCCTTAAAAGAAACAGAGCCATCCATCTTCGCCGCTTCTAGGGCTGCTCGCTCGCCGCAGCCACCGAAGCCGAGTTGTTCTTCGTCGCCACCGTCGCCGAAGCCTCCGCTGCCACTGCCGCCACCGCCGCAAGCTAGGGTTATAGTTATGGATTGGGGATTTTCTCCTCGGTGGTGGGTGGCGACGAAAGTGACTGACTCCGTTTCGACGACCGAACCGAGTCGGTATAGATGGCGACGCCCGAGGGTAATCTGGGCATTTTGAAAAAAATGAGACCACTTTTAGCCGAGAAATGATAAAATAATGGCCATGGTGTCCTACGGCAAATTACACAGTTTTTTAATGTCCTGGGGCAGCGCAACGTTTTCACGGTGTCCCTCAGTTAATTACACGATTTTTGCGTGTCCTATAGCAAATTTTGCCTACGATTATTGTAATCTAGAATATTGAGCCGGATTACTATAAAGCAAGATTATAATATGCTAGAATAGAATAAACTATGAGTTGTTTGTTTCTTTGGATTATTGGAGGCATGGATTACTGTTTTGAAAGGCTAAAGTCCATAATACCCTCGGCTATTTTGGTCGCCTGGAACCGCAACGCCCACCAGGTGCGTAGCCACCCGCCGGAGCATCGCCACCGCACGTCGCCATGATTTGCTAGGTCATCTCCAACTCTCGACCTGTTCTGGAGTAGGGGAGAGGGAATAATGATAAAGTGAGAGATACGAGGTATGGATGGCAGAGGTGGGTAAGTTCTTTCCAGTATTTGGGGTAGTGGGTCTTTAGCCACCCAATAATCTGAAAAAACACCTTTGTAGGAGATTACCAAATTATACTAATCTGCGTTCTAGATTATAATAATCTATTTATTTATTTCAGGTTACTTCTAATAATCTAGACTATAATAATCTTTAGCTGAATCAAACAGGGCCTTAGTAGCGATTAAGGTTGTCGGTGATATGGGCCCGAGGGTATGCAAGTGTGGGGAAGTCTCCTTCCCGTCCGGCCACGCGGCCCTACAGCCTGGCTCTCCCCCCACACCTCGGACGACGCAGAGGCAGCCAGAGGGCCTCAGGGTGCCACGTCACGCCCCTCGGGCCCTCGCGCTGCCTCACCCCGAGGCCCTCGCCTAACCGCCACGTGGCGGAGGGAGCGAGTGGGGCGAAGACCCAGGCCATCAGTACACAACGCCCCAACCGTCCCTCACCGCATGGCGGACGTGCGGCGCAGCCCGATTGATTAACGTCAATCGCGCATGACCGGATTGTGACCGGCCTGTCGCTGGTCACATCCGATAGAACGGGCGGCGGTGCCCCCACGTTCCGCCCTGTGCGCGGCGGAGTGGGGGCAGGTATGCCCCGTCCCATCAAAGCATCATCTGGAGCCCCCTCCACGTGAGATGGACCGCCAAAAGTCTCCATTCATTAAAGGGGAATGACAAGGGTGTCCCCCGTGTCAGGCGGCAGGCGACGCTGGGCCCCACTCGAGGACGGACGGCTGCTTAGCTTTCGGGCGAAGGCACGAAAGGTGGTCCGGTCCAAGCGGAGTGGGTCCCCCTCCCGTGAAGGAGTAGGTAGAGGCGGTGTATGTGGTATCCCCTTGAACTATAAAAGGAGGACCTTACCCACCGAAGAGACAGACGACTCTCAGTGAGCCTAAACACAAAGGGAAGAAGAGTGAGAGTGCTCCCTGGTGTTTTAGGGACCTTTGTAGCTTTCAACCTTAAATCCCACACATAGGAGTAGGGTATTACGCTCCATAGCGGCCCAAACCTGCATAATCCTGGCTCTCACGCGCGGTCTCGGAAGACTCTAGGTGGATACACGTTCTTGATCAATGCGCCCTTTCCCCCGACCGAACTCACAAAGGGGGGTCTCACAACCTCCCGCTAGAGAGGATCACTCCTCGACAAAGGTTGAGGAGAAAAGACTTTGGTACCCCTCATTTTGCGAGGAATACTTAGAGGTGAGAGGGTGGTTAGAGTAAGATAAGAAGAAAATATAAAGGAACAATAGGAATATATATTAAAACGACCAATACAACATTATTAAAATAAATATATATTCAATATTAATCAGGCTAACCCAGAGTTCTCCTAGCCAGCCTTCTTCTCCATGTTGGCCTTCAAGAGCTTCGCCTTCTTGCCAAGTTAGTGATCATGAAGTCTGTGATCATGAACGCCTTCCCCTAGGCCTCGCCCTCCACAATGTTGGTGTGAATCTTCTCTAGCTCAAAAACCTCGAAGAGAGATATGGCAGCTTGGCGGAGAGTCTCCTCTCAATGACTCCTAATAGCATTGGATCCTCTATTGTTTTTCAAAGGTTTTTTTAAAAGGAATAGGGGATAGATGGATGAATCATTGGTCGGCTAAATCGTGGTATTTACACATAACAAACCGTTGGGAACATGCACTTACTCAGGAACGACGGTGATCAATTAATGGTGTCTCCTCGTGTCTCTAACATGAACAACTCTTTGATTTTCACCATTGAAAATACTTAGTTATCATGTGATATCCCAAATCCTAATGACGAATTTCGTTGTGCTTGTGACGACCCTATTTGCCTCTAGGACCAATTTTTATAAACAAGATCTTGAGTAGTCACTAGAACTAGCCGAGCCTAAACTTTTGGATGATTTTTCTGAAAATTCATCATAGAGCAATGATGGATAACCTATTCATCAAAGGCAATCCGTCAAGTAAGGCTAGAGCAAAAAAATGGCATATTACATATACAATTACATTCACAGAATCTCAACAAAAATTACATTCACATTCACATACCTTCAAGACAATTTTTGCTACAAGACATCCCAAATTTCTGGTTTATCTAGAGAACACCGCACGAAGTCACTTTTGGGAGAAAATACTATGTAAATGTGGTTATTTGACAAGGAACTTTGTGCCCATTAAATTAGTGTTTTCGAGCTTATGAGGTGAGAGGTGACCCACTTTTTCACGCGACGTGACCAAATTGCCTCTACGTGTTAACAGGCTCAGAGGTAGCACGTCATGTTTCACTGAGTATGGTTTTATCCACACAAGCATATCAAGTTGAGCATGGTAGAGCTTACAATGTAATTAACACAAATGCAAGGACAAGCAAACATAGAAAATCCAAGGACAAATCAATGACCAACTAAACAATCCATCTTCACCTCCTCACCACCGTGGAGGAAGCGATCATCGCTGCCTTCGGGGTACCAGGCCAGATTCAAGTCACAGGCGTCGATGGCTGACTCAAGACTGGTTTGGCTCGAACCAGATGAACATGAGCAAAACACACTGGGGCAATTTGATCACGCCATGTCAAAATGTGCCCCCTTCTCGTCTCATCGGCCTGAAAAGGCGTGGTGTCCTCCTAGGCAAATAACCACATTTACCGGGTGCATTTCTCCAAAAGTGATTTTGTGCAATGCCCTACAGCTAAAACCACAGTTTTGATGTCTGTGGCAAAATTTGCCTACAGTCAATCATGTCCACATCCACATAAGCAATTCACACCCAAATAAATTAACATATCCACAATCCACATCTATATCCACATCAAAAGTTCTAAAATTAAAATAAATTATACATAAATCCCCATCTTACGCTCTAAAAATTTATTGTCTTACACAAATCACTCTTGATGGTCATTAGTCGATAGTTGATTAATATTGTTACTAATGGATATATCCATGCAAATTCATCAAGTGTCCCATCAAGGATCACAACATTTCAAATTGATGGCACAACAAAGTGATCTAGAAAAAGTTATGGATTTACCAAAACTTCTACCGATTCATTCTGCTAGGTCAATCAATACACCTTGTTATGAACTCGACATGTGAATAGGTCTCTTATCTTTATCCATGATTCCCTATCTACTCTAGATTCCATCCTTCTGTGTGGGGGTATGTTTTCATATCAGGATTCCCTATCTACTCTAGATTCCATCCTTCTGTGCGGGGGTATGTTTTCATATCGACATGTGAATAGGTCTCTTATCTTTATCCAGGATTCCCTATCTACTCTAGATTCCATCCTTCTGTGTGGGGGTATGTTTTCATATAGGAAATGATATATGGTGGCCACACCAAGGTATGTCTATGTATGTGGGGCATCCCATATTTAGTATACTACCAAAATAAGTTTATAATTCTAGCCTTAGTGTTTAGAACCCTATTCACCCCATCTTGGGATATCAAGCATATATGTAGACGTATTTTGGACCTAATCGACTAATCTCGGTGGATCTGATGTCTGGCTTGATTATTAGATGTTTCTCGGGGCCATATGTTTATACCAAAATAGGTCTCCTCATACTCTATATTCATCAAGAACTCATAAAGATAATCTTGAAAATATTTAATATTTACTATAGTTTTGGTCAAAGTCCAAGTAGATCATCAAAATCTTGTCAAAGTTGGTGTCAACGTTTGGAATCATCATATCCTTGTTTAAGGGATCTTTCCATATAGGTCTATAGGATTACTTATATGGGCAAGTGTATTCATATGTCGAGATCTTTCCATATAGGTCTATAGGATTACTGTATTCATATGTCGAGATCTTTCCATATAGGTCTATAGGATTACTTATATGGGCCAGTGTATTCATATATCTCTAGGATATGCGGGCCAAGTTGATGTATTCATGTGTCTCTGGGGTCACATGATATATTAAATTATTAAATTATGATATATTAAATCATTTAATTTGCATGCCACAAACATAAAATAGCAATATAAACAACTCTACAATAAAATCCAAAAGTTATTGGGAACTCCCTATATATTTTTAAGACAGTATAAAGGGGCTATGAGTTAAAAAAAGTTAAACACTCTTACATGGCGTGAGGTCTAAAATAGGAGTTCAAGAAAAGATGAAACAGACTCTTACATGGTTTAAAACTAAACTAGAAAATTGAATTTAATGATATTGGCAATTTTGGAGCCTTTAGAATAATCTTGTGCACACGCTAACACGATCGAATGTCCGCGTGCTTCCAATAAATCCATAGAACCAGAGAACTCATACTCCCTCCATAAAAAATAAACCAATTCCTATATCTAGCTATAAACCTGGACCAGTACTTAGTCTAGGTTAATAACTAGCATTGATTCTTTTTAAAACGAAAGGAGTATATCTTAGTGCTCTAAGGTATTAGGATCTACCACAAATTATCACTAGATAGTGTGTGTGGTGTATTCCGAGTACCTGCTCAAGAGCCGTAAAACCACTCCCAAGGAAGGGCGTCACTCCACCATCTTGAATTTCTTCGCGCCGTCGTCGTCGTTTGCTTCAAAACCTCCCATCATCTCCCCCTCCATGGTAGCCAGCAGCGCGCCTCCGCGCCGCATCTGCTGGATCAGCTCCTCCACCCCCGGAGTTTGCCGGACCACCAAGCCGATCACCCTTCCATGGCTCCCTGCAGGCACAGCAGGACGCCCTCCGCTAGCTGCCGTGCTCTTCTCCTGCACTACGTCCACGCCAATGTGGGCAGCCGTCACCGACGACGAGGACGGCGACGACGGCTGCTGCTTGATCACTGCCGTTTCCTGCAGGTTACTGTTTGGTTTCTTGATCCGTTGCTGTGTCTCGTCACCCTGAAACTGTGTGTTCTCTTGCTCCTGCTTGACACGCTGATCTGAACCACGCTGCTGCTCAGCCGCCATGGCTGCAGCTTGTTGCTCGTCTCCTCCTCTACGTTTAAATACTCCCCAGAGGTAGTGCTTCCCTTGAAAAGCTGCAGAGAAATAAGAGAGTAGGATGGTCAGTTTTGTTGCACATACGAGGAAAGCTGACCCAAAAATAATTAAGTAAAGCCCTCTTTAGTTCCAAAAACTTTTCGCAAAAACATCACATCAAATATTTGGGCACATGTATAGAGCATTAAATAGAGATAAAAAGAAAAACTAATTGCACAGTTTACATGTAAATCGCGAGACGAATCTTTTGAGCCTAATTAGTCCATAATTAGTAATAAGTGCTTACAGTAACCCACATATGCTAATGATGGCTTAATTAGGTTCAAAAGATTCGTCTCGCGGTTTCCAGGCGAGTTATGAAATTAGTTTTTTCATTCGTGTCCGAAAACCCCTTCCGACATCCAGTCAAACGTTTGATGTTACACCAAAAAAATGTTCATTTCACCAACTAAACAGGCCCTAAGCTGAACTTTTATGACTAATAATCAATCAGAAAGGAGCTATGTTGCCTAGGCTACTGTCACTCATGTACGTGCATAATTAATGTTTCCATCTTTCATATTCTCAACTAATTTTATACATCCCTTTTTATAAGTTTAAGGATCCATCTACAGATCGGACGCCCAATATTTTAATTAAAAAATCGGGCGCCTCCTCCTCTACCTTTTTTACTGCCACCACGTAGATGCAAGCCACTGCATCAGAAGAAACCATGCATTCGTAGAGTAGCACTAAACAATAGTAGGATGGTTACAGGTTTTTTTACAAACTTCAAACTATTTTTTCTCTCAAGTTACTTATCCAATTCATAATCCGATTGTACCACTAAATTTGTTACAATTAAATCTTTACAACAAGACCACACATGATTATATTTCGACAAAAAAATATTTTAGCTTTTTATTGATATTTTTTTGAATGTTGCATATGGTCTCTTTTGATGTTTCAACCAGTAGTTTTACGCGTGTACTCGTGATATTTCATTATGTACGGATCAAATGTTGCAGTAGATTTTGATATTATGGTAGACGCCGTTGCAACAAATCACGCGCATATTATGAAAACCTTCTATTAAGGAAATCCGTTTCATTTTTTTTGTTCCACAAAAAAATATTTCACATAATGTACTCACAATGTTTCACTATTTATAGATCTAACATTGCATTGAACGAAATATTCCTTTGCAACAAAGAACCCACATATTTTGAAACCCCCTATTAAGGGAAATTGGTTTATTTTTGTTTCACCGAAAAATGTTTCACCTAATGTACTCACAACGTATCACTATGTATGGATCAAATGTTGCAGTGAACTGAAACATTCTTTCGCTATTTACTGAAACATTTCGCTATTTACTGGAACATTGTTTTTATATAAGGTGAAACAATACCCGATTTAAACAAGTGAAACATTTTCGATCTACTGAGTGAAACAATTCCGATATACTTGGTAGAACATCGTGCAACATTTAAAAATAATTCAATTACTATTTTTTTCGTCGGAATATATCCATGTGTGGTCTTGTTTTGAAGATTTAATTGCAACGAATTTAATGGTGCAATCGGATCATGATTTGGATAAGTAATTTAAGAAAAAAATCAATTTAAAGTTAGCTTAAAAAGTTCTACATGCATGCATGATGACGTCACCCGATTCCTAGTTGCTTCCTGCTTCTCTTCATAGGCAGTGACTTGCATGCATGCCAGGCAGGACTGTGGATGGTATAACAGCCCGATAACTTTTCCCTTCCATCGGGCGACCGACAACAATCATTTTTTGTAAGTTTAAGTGTCTAAATAAATAATAATTTAAAGAACACTGTAGTGCAGCCTACATCCTAGCAATTAGGTGGCACTTGAGAAAATAATATAAGATGCTCTATAGCGATTCACCTCAGCTTTATGTTAAAATGATCTAGAAGAGAGATAAGACAAGATGCATACTTCGATATTTTTCAGGCAATAGTGTAGAAGGAAACATTAGCATCTGAGCTTCACCAATAACAGCAGATAAGGCCATATCCTTCTCCACGATTTCCTTAACTAGCTGATCCATGCCTTTATCTAGCCTATTACATATGAAAGAAGAAAGTTATGAGACATTAATTTCACATTTCACATAGAGCACGGGATAGTGATACTGCAACTAATTGCAAAAGTAAGGTACCTCATTTTAGGGGGGAAGAAATACAAGCCAATGCTGTCATCTGTGGGACTTGATGCCTCCAAACTCTTAGGCCAGACCACTGACCTAGAAAGCTTTGTCACTTGGACAATTGAAGGTATTGATACCGACAAATCCCACACTTTCTTGCATGATTTAGTTGATAGATGTGCTGAGAATGGTATATAATCATTGCCCCCAATCTTAAAGATTCCGCTGTTGACATAAACAAAACCAAAAGATTAGAATAAAGAAAGACATATACAATGATACTTCAAAGAGAAATACGAAACATCAACGATATATACCTCCAGATAGGTTCATCAATTGGTTGTATACAATGATAGAACTGTCTCTTGATAGACTCTGCGGCAATTGGCATAGCGACTTTGGTTGAATCTTTAATATCCATAGGATTTTTGTCATCATAATCATCCTCTTCATCAACATTTACAATATATCGTCTCCGTTTCTTAGTAGGCCTTAGATTCTTATAATCTTCACACTCATCTCTATCATGTTTCTTAGGCCCATCTTTTGTTAATGGGCTAGGATTTGGAACTTCATTCCCCTTCGTGTTATCCTTATAATGATCACCACATGTAGAAGGAATGTAATCTCTCTTCAAACTCTTAGTTGAGCCTAAATTTACATGATGTTTACGATCGCCCATCGTAACTTCACCACATATCTTATCACATTTATTGTCTTCGTATGAATTGCCCTTGTGCACCATGAGTTCCTTTGCAGACTCTTTTGAAATAGAATAATTTTTCACCTTGCAAGATTTCAATTCTTCACCACTATTATCATTTGCCATTGTTGATTGCCCCTTTAAGCTAACACCGCGTACCGATCCACGCATTTGTTTTGGGCGAATTGGTTGTGGATTTGACTTTAAAACTGATCTAGCTGGAATTCCTTTCTTCGTGCGCACCAATGCATGAATTGGGTGCGCACGAATTGGGGACGTTAGTTGTGGATTTGACTTTTCAATCGAGTTAGCTAGCAATCCTTCCTTTCTGAGCATAGGTGCAAGCACATGATTTGACTTGGAATCACCTTTAGCCATTGGACCTATGTTTTTATCCGTTAGCTGGGTAAACGGTGGCCTGATGCTACTCTTGCTAGGATATAGCACTGGTATTTGCAACGTAACCTTCTTTTGTTTATCCTTTAAATAATTCCACTTATACGTCCTCTCATCAGCAATTATAGCTTTGAATTTGTCATCGTAGCCCCTTCTATTTTCATCATGGTTATGATTTCCCTTTTTAGGTAGCTTATATGCCATATTGGTTCTCTTGACTTCATTTATTATTCGTTTCATCAAGGGCTTTGGTTTATACTTGCCTATCCCATATGTGCGAGGTATTCGACCAAAATTTATACCTCTATGTTGACTTTGAGTATACATATCACTTGATACGTGTCACAAAGGGCTATTTTGATTCAAAAAATATCTATAAAAAAGAAGCAGAGTTATTAAAACACATTTTGTATGAAATTTAAAATGAAACTAGTAAAGATAGCCACTCGTTTCCTACTCCCTCAGTCCCTAAATGTAGGTCTAGCTTATGAATCTAGACCGCAATCTTACATTTTAGGACGGATAGAACTACTAACAACCAAAAAAATCTAAATTATAAAGGTTAATAAAAAATAATAAAAATCTAAATTAAAACAAACCTATGACAATGGGAAAAAAAAAGAACAGAAGAATCGAGAGAAATATAGCAAAAAAAAATGCAATCAAACCATTGATTATATATAATATTGAGGTATCAGGTGATATCAAATTACTTTTAAATTCTCCTATGGATACTTTTGATACTTTTGAGTAATAAGCATAACGGCCCTATTGTTCTGATGGAGAGAATAACCTATAATTAGCTTTTCGGGATATTTCCAAACGAACAATTACAAAGAAATATTTCATCTTCTTATTTTTATTATGGTCAATTTTATGTATCCCTCTATTCGTCTAGTAGATTGAGGGCCTGTTTGGTACAGCTCCGACTCCTAAATTTAGCTCTAGGAGTTGGGTCTGGAGTGGAGTTGTAAAGTTGCCTAAACCCAGCTCCACAACTCTAATTAATTTTGTGAGAGAGCTCCACCCAGCACTACTCCCATTTTTAGTGGAGCTGAAACTGTTTGGCTGAGCTCTAGCTTCAGGAGGGGTGAAGCTGGAGCTGGAGCTGTGTCAAACAGGCCCTGAATGTACATAAATGGCTATAGCAGAGTTTATGCTATTCATAACAACTATACCAAGACAAATCTACGGTCTAACAAGGCTACTATGAAATATTTACTCATGGGTAGGACAACTTGGCTATATGGTTCATTTGAGGCGGGGAAGATCAAGCTTCAAGAAATCATGAACTTTCTATTACTAAAATATAGCAACTAGTATTGGATATGGTATATTTTAGATTTGTCTAAATTTGTAATTCGATTAATAGATATATATATATATATATATATATATATATATATCATTTTATATATTGGGCTATTTTTAAAGATAGAGGGAGTACTACATAGATTCCCTTTTGCATCTAAGAACGATCTGATGTAAAAAGGTAAACGATTATATAGATAGCATCTACCTAAACTACCCTCGTTGGGTAAAATTAACCACCGGAGCTGCGTGCGCGATTTTGTGCATTGTGTTCCAGCGTTAGCTAGCTAGCTGCACATGCTGGAAAGCATGTAGCCATGTACACATGTCCATGCATCCAATTAATGGAAAGCTAATTAATTATGTCCATGCACTTAATCTCATCGTCTGATCAGCCGATACAGTGCTGGAACCAATTGCTCGATCGATGGAATTTTAATTCCAGGATGGCATGTATACACCACCACTATATATCCCCTTTTAACTATCGCAATCTTAGTAAAGATCTAACGCTAACCCAAATAACTATAAACTCAGATCGATCGATCGATCACCACAAAAATCCGGCTGATAGAGCTAATTTAACTTAAAAAATTCTTAAGCGAGCGATCCACATGATGAATTATAAATTAATCTCGTAAATTCTAAATTCTAAACTGATATAGTAGATGATCGAGTTCGCGTATATACCTGATCACGGCCTGCTTGCTGTCTTGCGCTAATCCACCTCCGCTAGAGAAGATGAAGACACACCACGCCTCGCCGAGATCGCCGGAAACGAGTCACGCACCTCCCCGAGATCACCGGAAACAACAAGTCGATCGGCAAGATCGATATGGCCGGAGAGACAACGCGATCGATCTCCGGAAACAAGTCGGCGACCAAACTGAGATGGATCGCCGGAAACAAGCTAAGTCGGCGACCAAACCGAGATGGATCGCCAGAAACAAGCTAAGTCGGCGACCAAACAGAGATCGCCGGAGAAGGAAGGGCAGATGCGGCGGCGATGAGGAGAAGAGAATCTGGAGGCGGGTGTGTAGCGTAGGGTGGGTGTAGTTATATAGGGGAGGGCACAGGTCGGTTCGGCGGACTCAGCTCCGAGTCAGTTACTTACCTGGTCGCGTTGTTGGGCCCTAGCGGGCCCAATCTATGGACCGTCTCCGATTCGATTTCGTGCCGTTCTCGAACGGGATTCGATTTATTTATTTATATATTTATTATTGTTACTAAACTGGGCGTCAGTTTTTGTTTCTCGATACATCCGGCCGCTGCACCTTCCAAAATTAACGCGGCTGCATGCATCCTAATCAACGTATGTCGGTTTCCTTTTCAATTCAATTGGTCACCTAAAAAATTAAGGGACGTACTGTCCATGTATATGTTGATAGATAGACAATTTCACCACCAATCTTTCAAATTTTGGACTGTTCGATATGCTTTGAGATTCGTGCACAGCCTTAACACTAACTTTTTCCTCCCGTTCCCCTCCCCCTCGCGCATTCCGCCGCCGCTGCTCCCCTCGCGCGTTCCATCTCACCACCGCCTGATCCCCCGCCGCCACCACCCCAACGCGCCGCCGCCCGCCTCGCTGGCTGGCCGAAGGGAGTCAACGGCGCCGGCGAGGTCCCCTCGGCCAGCACCCTCCCCTCCCCTTCCCCCTCCACCTCCCTCTCCTCTTCTTTCCTCAAGCCGATGACGACTGTCTTCCCCGTCTCCAGCGGCGGGGCGCCACCACCAGCCACCTAATCCTAACACATCTTACGCTTTGCCCCCGCCTCCTACATCGGCCCACCGCCAGCTTCCGACCCTGTGGCTTCGGTGGCACCGCCGCCGCCTCGCCGCCCACCGCCGAGCTGCTGCCTCCCACAGCCATCCCTCTAAAGCCGGCGAACTCCCCCCTCTTCCCCCTCCTCCTCCCCCTCCCACCCCTCCCACCACCACCCCAATCCGGGACCCTAACCCATAGGGTCCTCTACCGGAGAATAGGGTTTTGCTGGCACCGGAGAAGAAGTGGTCGCCAGAGTTAGAGGAGAAGGCTTGGAGCACGAATCGTGAAACTCATCCGGTGGTTCAAAATCTGCAAGATTTGGAGATGGGTTTCCTATCGACAGAAGGTTAGCAATTCGGTAAAATTAATTGTGTGTCCTATTTCGTGATCTGGTTTGATCATTATATTAAAAAAATAAATCCTGTGTTTATGTTGGATTTACGGATGATTAAGGGTCCTAATCTGCGTCGGCCAGTGACGCTGCCTACAATTAAACGGCGCCTAGTTACCCCCTTTTAGCCCATGACGATCTTCACAATCTGCGTCGGCTGTTCTTTTGTCAACATGCATGCTTAGCATGAAGACAATTAATTTGTTCTCGCTACGGTTCTATTTTATTTGACATTTTAGACAGCACTGTAAATAGCAATAAATGATTAATTAAAATCTATATTTTCGGTTATAACCATATTAAATATGAGTGGTGCAATGGCCAGAGGCGAGAATATGTAGTGGTAGCAGTCCACGCAACAGTTATATATTATTTGCCTGAGGAGGGTTTCAGTGGGATGGAGACGAAGCAACATATGCTTTATTATGTTTCCATGTTTACAGGGTACTTCTAAGAAATATAATAGGAGGGAGTAGCCTGGAAAGCTAAAATATCAGGTTTTTTAATCTAAATGCCATTAGCCTATAACGTCAATTAAAATAGAACTAGAAGGAGAACCTATTAGATCTTGTTCGAAAAGTAGAGATCATTTTACATAAGAAAGAACCACATGGGCATTGGGTTGATCCCTCTACACTCTCTCAATCCATTGCCATGTTTTGTTTCTTTGGATAGTGGTGGGTTGAAGGGGTTAAATTTTATTCAATTCTAGAGCAGGAACAAAAAAAATCATAAAATTACTTAAAGATTTAGAGAAAATAAAAAATGTACATGACTAGCCATCCATACAGGCAATGGTAAAGGAGAAAGGGGAGAGAAGAGAGAAGCAAGGTGAGGACAAAATCCTGCCATTAGGGGACCTGAACCAATATGTGGACAGTAGTAGCAGAAGCAAAAGGTAGATAACCTTGTCGCCGAAGCCATCACATAGGAAACCCGACAAGCTATGGACCTCACACCAGATACACTGGGACGGTGATTGCCGAGGAGAGGATGGTTGTTGATGGGGTCGAGAGATGGCGCGGCCTCACCTCCATGTTGCTATTGACACTTTCCACAGGGATGTAGGTGTCATCGTTATTGGCTTCTTCGTGCGGAGAGGGAGGTGATGTCGTCACCAATTCGTGAGGTGAAGCAGAACACACGTGACGCAAACGAGGCAGGATCAAAAGAATATGTCTCGGTCGGATTGGATTAGGTTGGGCCTAGATTTTTCTTGTCCTAGCCTCATCCGAACACTCATACTCAAAACTTCCCTCACAAGGGTTGTCCCCTAGGGAGTGGGTTGAATCACGCCAGAACCACACCCAACCGAACGGTATGGGATCATTGTAGAAATCTCATTCTCACCACGAGAAAGCTATCTTGTTCGGAAGACACATGCCAAGTTTCAGGAATTACAATTAGGAGTGAATTTTTTTCCCCAGATGGTTCAATGATCTTGTGCCACCTTTTTTGTTATGATTCTTTACCAAATCATCTTTGCTTATTCTTTTTCTCCCTGTTGAAGCTATGCTTATTATACCTTATTGTGATGGAGAAAACATATGCATCCTAGAAGAAGAGATGGATGCTAAATTATGCTTCAATATGAAATGTGTGATTCAACCAATACTTAACTTATGCTAGTTCCACGTTATGTACTTTCCAAAATATGTGATAGACACAATTTTTTGTGAACACTCACATTTTTCACAAAAATGGTCCGCACACAATTTTTAAGCGAAATAATATATTGTACCTCCAGATAGGTTCATTTACGGGTAAGGAGCAATGGCCCTTGATAGCTTCTAAAATAGTTGGTATTGAGACTCCAGAAATACCATTTTTCACTAATCTAGAATCTTGACCATCTTCATTAGCTTTAGATCCTCTACATTTCTTCTCAAGTATAGAATCATTTGAAGCCAAATGTCTTGAATCTTTTCTGACATCAAGATTTGTCTTGTGTTTTTTTCCCATTTGTCCCTTTCTTCCTCTAGTGGACTCCATGTTACCAACATCATCTTCCTCTCTACCCAACGCATTTGGAATTCTTCCTTGGCTACATCCCACTAATTTCCTTTTGACGAGTTTGATTTGGTTCACACAATCAGTAGTAGAATGTTCACTGCACTCATCGCTTATGCGTAATCCACCATCCTTTCCATCTCTCAACAAGTCCTCGCTACACATTGGGCGAGCATTCTTCTGCAAAGGTTGGGATGGTATTGCACCACTTCCTCGTTTCCTCTATCTTCTCTCCTAGTTGAAGGTTCACTTCTCATTGGGTGGGCATTCTCCTCCGGATGGATTTGACGGTCATGCGTCACTTTTTTATTTCTACTCTCTTCTCTCCGAGTTGAAGGTTCCCTGCTAATTTGGTGGGCATCCTTCCTCGAATGGTCATGACGATCATGCCTATTTTTTTCCTTTCCTCTATCTTCTCTCCTTGTTGATTGTTCACTTCTTACTTGGCGAGCATTCTTCTATGAATGGTCATGACAACCTTGCGTCACTTCTTCCTTTCTTCTCTCTTCTCTCCTTGTTGACGATACACTTCTTATACCTTTTGATGGAGAAAGCATGGGCAATCTAGAAGGGGGCGATGTCAATACCTTACTTAATTTGCTAGAAGTGTTTGTCGTTGCATTGTACGGTTTGCCAACCTTCTTTGCCTTACTTGAGATCTCAGCTGAAGATATATTTTCCCTCCATTTCGAGGTTTTGGGTATTTCCTTCGTTAGAAGTCACTCCATGTGTTTGAGACTTATTTATATCCTCATTTCTTCTATTACAATTGCTATTTCCTCTTTTGTTGGGTTGTTGCATATACGCTTGGGATTTAGTATCAGCTTTCACAATCTTACTCATCCGTTCAGACATAAACCTTTTTCTCCTCTTTGATCTACATTTTGCTAACATGATTTTCCTAGAACTAGGACCAAAACCAGGTCATTATTTGATGTGAAAGTGTTCTAAAGCTTCACTAACGTCATTATCATTTACCCTTTTTTTTCATTTGTCCATTCGTCCCTTTAATTTAGTGGATTTCAGATAATCAACAATGTATTCCTCCCAAACAAAGAATTTGGAATTCAGATACATCCCTCCGAGCTTGGTTTGGTTTGTTTATATGCTTAGGGATCAAATTTTACAACTTTTATTGCTTGTGTATTCCATTTCCGCTTTGCACATTGTGTGCTTTCCATAATTTGTGTTGCAGTCACTTCCCATATGTGTCATTTACACAAATTTCTTGTAACCATTAGCACATTTCCCATGAAAATGGTCCTTCCACTATTTTTAGCAAAATAACCACTTCTTAAAAATTAGATTGGATGTGATTTGTCTAGAAAATGTCAAGCAATTTACTTCGAAATCCAATTCTCATACGAAAGGTTTTTTTGTCACATGGCCTTTTGCTGTCACAGAGATATATATGTGCACGTCACAGCGTGTCTGCCATGACTTGCGTTGCGACGCTCGACGGGCCACGCTGCTCCACAAGCCTACTAGTACTACATAGTAAATTAGTTCCTACTATCAGTTCTAGCACAGTAAATTATTTTCTTTTCGATTACACAGTACGTACACTCCTACACACGCAACATCACACTCACACAAGAATCAGCAGCACATTGCTAATCTCACCAAAAAATGTGTTACAAGCTCACCTATTTAAGTAATACTAGCAAATTGCCCGTGCATTGCAACGGAATAATTTTAACTAAAATCACAATAAATACTTTTGGGATTTGATTTGTGATATCAGTCCTTTTAGAAAAACATGTTCTTGATATAAATCTTGTTTACCAGATTTAACATCAACCAAGAATTTGTAGCAATTTAAAAAGACTAACTTACGGGTAATTGTACCTCATTAGCAGAGTTTAAGATTTTTATTTTTAGTTTTTTCCAATGAATTAGATTGGAGCTATATTTGAAGGATACAAAGTGGACTTATTCCAAAATAAAAGACCAAACAAACCGAATACGGCCCAATCCGCCCAACATTCTCAATCGCACGCTACAGCCCATGAAGCATGCGCGGCCTAGCAGTGCAGCGGCCCGGGATGGAGGCTGGCTTGACGCGGGATCCATCCAGGTCGTTCGTTGTGATGGACAGCTTGGATCGGTTCCGAATCTATCAAAATCGCCCGTCTGTGGCGAGATTGCCCCCCCCCCCCCCACACCACGGGCCGCCCGCTCCCCCTTCCCTCCCCTCTCTGCAAAGGCGGCGCAACTCCCCTTCCCCTCCCCCACTAGCAGCCCTGCTTCCCCTCCCCTCCCCCACCAGCGCCCATTGCACGCCGCCTCTCTCCCACTCTACATCGCGTGCCGATGTCTGTCCCTGCTCCACATGACGCAATGCGCCTCCTCTTTTGCTTCTACGTAGTGCGCCGTGCCGCTGCCACCTCTTCTTCCGCCCCAGCTCCTCCACTCCCCCCTCCATCCAGACATCGTCTCCTCATGGCGTCCTCCTCCACTATCCTCACATAGAGCCATCATTGCTGCCACCAATGGTCCTTCACCAAGCCGCCAAGGCCTCCTCCTCCCCGTTGCCTCACCGTTTTGGTCAAGGCCTGGTGGCGCGTGGTGAGGGGGTGGACTGTGCGCACTGGGTTGCATCCGTCACCAATGGTAGTCTCCACCTACCCGTTGCCCTGCCGCGCCTACCAATGCTTGGTGGCTCGAGGTGAGGGCATGGATTATGAGCATTTCTTTTTTTTCTTTTTCTGAGATTGTTCTTGGTTTAGTTTTAATACATGTAAGATAAAATTGTTGATTGCTCGATTGGTTTTTTAATCAATCTTTGATGTTGTGATTTGTCCTCCATACGTGATTAGGATTTGTATCCATCTCTGTTTTTTTTTTCTTTGGCCGCCGTAAAATCATGCGTGCGAAGACGGAGGGCTGCTTGGTCGGACTTTACGGTCAAAAATTTTGTGACGAAAGAAAAGTTACGAATCTTTTAATTAGTTAAGATTTCTTGTCGAACCTTTTTTATTTTATTGTTTCATGTCAAAATAAGAAAATCATTGTGCCCTTAATCAATTATTCATACAGGGAGATGGAAGAGTTTTAAAAAATATATGAACAAAGAAGATTTTTACTTGCAGTAACATCTTAATGATTTTTTAAAGCAAATATAAATTCTTTTCTTGTAGATTTTGTTGAGATGTTCACATGGGCCACGATTTTGTCACCCCTCGCAGTTCATCTATCTACGTGTCCATCCTATGCGGCCTAGCTATTGCCTGGTTCCATCGCTGCCAAAATAAAATAACACCAGCGTGAACAAACTGAATCGGACATAGATTAAAACATGCCAAAATAAATAAAAAAATCGTGTGCTCTCCAAATACGGCATCGAACTAAACTGAACACCGACGGATAAAAATCTGACAAAAACACCTTAAATTTTTATAATACGTAAAGATTCCTTGACATCAAGATCTAAATCTGTTAGATGGAGTTAAACAAAACACGCACACCACTAGTGCTTCCTATGTAGATTACTACACTATTTGTTTTGACATGGTAACACACTATTTGTTTATGATCTAGACTACGACTTAATCTCTGAAACGTCGGTGAGGTAACGTCCTGCCCTATCTGTAAACATACCAAATGCCATGTGGTACAAGGTTAACGGGGATATTTGTTAACGGACACTGAAAACGCGTACAAATGAATAACGGCAGATACTCACCAGTCCCAGTCACCAACCAACTCTGAAACGCGTAGGACTTGAGTCGGTTACAGAGTAGTGAGCAATGTACTCGTACTAAATTTTTCTTACTAAACTTTTACTAACAATCATCTCAACCGTTTGATTTAAGTAGATGGAAGTTACAAAAAAATCTAGATGCACTCGTAGCATGACACATCAGTGTTAGTAAGAATTTAGTAACCATGTAATTAACAGGAGCTAATAACAGGAGCTAATCTCTGAATAACCATGTAATTAACAGGAGTTAATAACCATGTAGCTCTAGATGTTGTTCCATACATAGGAATCATTAATAACAAGTTAACAACAGCTACGAGACTTTGTTCCAGGATACGTCAGCCTGAACTATATAAGCAGGCTTCCTTCCATGACAGACAGATTCAACTATCTACATCAGCATAAGAGATGTTATGTATCTCTATGCACAAAAAAACCTGAAACCTGTAAACTGCTTACCTACCTCCTTCGGATTGACACAAACAAACGACAGTATATGCAAAAGCCAGCCTAAGTTCAGATCAAGGGAAGCACATTTGCTACCCCTTTGCCGTTGTTGCTTGGCTTTGGCCACAGCCGGGCCCATATGTCACCCTTGGCATCGTTGATATCAGCGCGCCCTCGCGTTCCAGCTCTTGCATGAGTTGCTCAAATCTTGGAGTTGGCTGAGCAACAAAAGCAAACATCCTGCCTTGGGGAATTCCTAAGCTTGGGTCGATCTGTTCACGATTTGCCGGTTGGGTAGCAGCCATTGAAGGATGATTGGCCCGGGATGCGTTTGATCCACCGATTGGGGGAGCCATGTTCCGGTCAGCTGCGTCTTGCATCTCCGCTGCTTCAGGGTCTTGAGGTTCAGTATCCATGTTGGGATCCGGAACACCGTGAAATTCAACTTGTTCTGTGCCATCCTTGGAACCCTCCTGGTTCTCTAGACACATGGCATGTGCTGCTTGTTCTTCTGCTACGCCAACTATATCTTTCCTGGGCCTGAACAACCCCCACAGGTAGTGTTTTCCTTGAAAGGCTGTAGACAAATACAAAGAAACCTACTAAATGATTGAAATCATGAGAAAAATACTGCAACGTGTAATAGTAATCACGGCAAAAAAAAAACAAAAATAGGTAGTTTAGTAAAAAGTTATTGGTTTCCCACCAGCAGCACAGGATAGTTATCACATTTTATTATGAATGTAACTTTGATTGGGTGGGTATAGAGATCATGTGCACATTCGTGTATTTTTTTTATACGTTGGTATAATCTGACGAATGAAAGAACTCAAACCTTGGTACTGTTTAGGCAGCATTGTCGAAGGGAATATCAGCATCTCCGTTTTGCCCATGACAGCACGTAAGGCCAGATCATACTCAATGACTTCCTTAACTAGTTGATCTAGTTTTCCATCAGGTCTACAAATAGAAATAAGAATAGGAATCAGATTGCCCCTGCAGTACAGTATATTGGTGTTGCATACAATCATAAAGGTTAGACAAGATACCTCATTTTGGGTGGAAATAAAAACAAGGCAATGTTTTCATCAGTGAAACTTGATGTCCCCAAGCTTGCTGGCCAGACCTCTAACCTGGAATGCTTTGTCACGTTGACCAAGGCACGCAAAGATCTTGACAGCATACATACATTCTCGCACGATTTGGTTGACAAATGTCCAGCCAATGGTACATATTCCTTGCTGTCAATCTTGAAGATTCCACTGTTTAAACCAAAAAACAAATATTAGCACAAAGAGTTAATGGATCCTAGGTTGATATGACAATGAGATTAAACAGAAGTTACTCCAATCAATTGGACCATATCATGACTCATGAGACTGAATAGCAAACTCTAAGAATGAGTTCATTTTACACCAATTAACTTTGCAAAGACCCCACATACCCCTAACCCATGAGCTATGAACAAGGTATTTAATCCCCAATTCGCACTGAACTATGGAAATCCAATTTATCAGGTTTTTTTGGCATACACGCCTTTGAGGATACGTATGGTACCAGGGAGGTCAACGATGCAAATGGTGAAAGAAGAGAGGGAGAGGGATAGAATGGAGCAAGAAAGTAGCTCTCATCCTCTAGTAGAGGTTCTCAAAAAATGGATGTCAACACCGGAACATCCACTAGTTGGCCTCCCCATGGATGAAACCGAAGGATTGCCTACAAACCCTTTAGTTGGTGGATCCATTTTATCAATAACAGCCTTTAACATCATAACTTGTCTCATATGATGTATGCCTGTGGGTAAATGTAATACACAGTATAAGCTGTCCACCACTAAGTATAGTTAGTGTTATTTCTCATCTCCCCTAAAGTAGGGATTGACAAAACTAAACAACAAAAATAAGACCAAACTGAAGATGCGGTTTGGTTTGTTGACATTTTTGGTTTCTCAAACTTCGGTTTTTGGTTTTATGTTTATTTTTTCATCGGTGTGAACCAAATTACTTGACACCTACCATCTCTCCCTTCACCTGTCCTGTGCATGACATAAACTAATTTAACACAGATTTCAAGGGCCCAACGTAGCATAGGCAGCAAAGTGCTTACACTCGTGCGATCGGGGCCAATGGAGGAGCATCTCATGGACACATGATTCAACACGCAGTGGGACCATGCAAGAGTTCCGAGGGTCCTGAACGCTTTGGTAAAAACTAAATACCAAAAAAAACCAAACCGATTTTGTTCTATCCTTTCCTTTCTTGGTTTATAGTTTTTCCATGTTTCGTGCGGCATTTTAGAGAAACTGGACTTTCAAACAACCAACAAAACTAGACCAATTGAACCTTTGCCCACCCTTGTCGTAAAGCCCCATTATTTCTAGCAATACAAATCTAATAATTTCAATTTTGAATTCAAGCAATCAATTTTTTAAGATTGTTTCAATTTTAAATTAAATATTTGATCCGCATTATGATAACCAATACAATCTTTGTACGTATTCTTTGACCTTCACTCCTTTGACCGACACAACATCTATACGAAAAAGGCAAAATTTGCTGCACGGCATTCCATATTTGTCATTTGGTCAGTTTTGTCGTTTTGCCATAGAACACTCTAGTTTGTCGTTCTTTGCCAAAAAGGCATGTCAGCCATTATTTTAATATATCATATTCAAAGAGATAAAATTTTGCAAATGTCAATTTTGACAGATAATGGTCAATTTTAAACGTATTTTCTAAAATTCAAATCAAGCACATTTTACAAATACGTGGCAGGGTGTCAGGCGGAGTGGGGGCACTGCCACCCGTCCCATCACATGGGCACTACCACCTGTGACCGGTCAAGCCTGATTGACATGGGTCAATCAGGCGGCACAGCACGTCCGCCCACGCCGCATTTAATGCGGCGAGGGATGGTTGGGGCGTCGCGCATTTAAGGCGCCGAGCAGCGCCTCCTGCTCCGCCCATTCACCCTGCCACATGGCGGCCGGGTGCGGGGCGGCTCACATTACGGGCCCGAGGGGCGTGACGTGGCACCCCGAGACCCCCCGGTCACCTTATCACTACCTGACCTCCCCCCCCCCCCGAGGGGGTGGGGAAAAAACAGGCTGCATGGCCACGTGGCCAAATGAGGAGGTTACTTCCCTCTACCGTGCATACCCCCGGGCCCATTTCACCAACATCTTTTAATTTGAATTTTAGTTATTTCTAATTTGTATTTCTATATGGACTCCAACCTCTACTTTTAATTTTCTTTTTAAAAAAATCGAATTTTAATTAGTTCTAAATTGTATACATGTATGAACTCTAGTTCCCTCGTCAATATTCTTTGTTTTTAGTTTCTGAATTTCAGCTATTTTTATAATGTATTTCTATATAGACTCTAACCTCCTTTTTTAATTCTTATTTTATAATTTCGAATTTCAATTAGTTCTAAGTTCTATATGGACTCTTCTAATATGAGAATTTCTAGGCCGTGAGAGCTATACGGACTCTTATAATATATGAGAATTTCTAGGACGTGAGAGCGAATGTGGAGACTACTTTTTCTATTATTTTGATAAGCTAATAGATATTTGTTCAAAATAAAATATTAAGAGTGATCCAAGGGTAAAATAATCATCATTTACATAGATTTATCTCTCCATTAGAAGAGTACTAAAACAATAGGAATGCCTTTAAGCAAATAACCACAAAAAAAAGTTTTCAATGTAAAGGCAAAAACTAGTGTCCTAATTCAAATGCCATAAATCTAAAGTGTTCTAAGAGCAAAATTTGCCCAAAATAAAAAATCAACGTTTTCTAGCTAAGTTAGATGGAATATGGTCCATCAAACATGTCATAAGGCCATGTACAATGGGATGCTTGGTTAGATGCTTAGAGAAAAAAGGCGGGTTTTTTTTACCAGGCCGGCGCTACGCTAGTCGCCCATCGCCAAACGAAGCGGTCATCGCTTGGGAGCGCTTGCGCGAAAAAAGGAGGAGCGTAGCAAGCGCCGGCGCTCTGTACAGAACTAACTAATCTTGTTTAACTAACTAATAACTAACCATTACCTAACTTGATTAGGTCACTATGCATGGCAGTGTAGAAGCCAATTTTCTCTATAAATAGAGATATTTGGCTGGGACATAATTGCACCTTCTTCTTGCTTTTGCAAACAATGGTTCCTACACCAAATGGATCAATCCTCCGCTTTACTCTATTTTTTTTTACAGAAATTAAATTTGCTCTGTTTTAAGCATATGGATCACGCACGAAAGTATTTTAGCACATCACCTTTGTAATAAAGATGACAATAAAATTAAAATTTGGTTGAGAATGAGACAGTAAAATAAAAAAAATGGTAGACTCATTCACTACCATTGTAGCACCCAGATGCTTAGATAGACTCTTAAATAACTAAGCATCTGTGGAATGGATTCTCTTCATTGGAGATTAAGGCTCTTCAACGGATGCTTACATACTTTTTTTTTCTAAGCACCTATCTAAGCATCTGGACCATTGTACATGCCCTAAGAGTACCAGAGGAAATATAATAAGTGGACACTCAATAGTGGTATAATCAAATTTTTTCCCTAAATCTATAGGGTAAGTTGTCTCTCCTCTACCATAAAGCAAAATCACATGATTATTTGTAGCCTCTAGGTGATTAATCTATAGTGCAAATTGTCTCTCTCTTATGACGTTAGATCACCTGATTTATTTCTACCCTTAAGATTGCAAATTGTTAAGCCACATCACCCAATTTGTTACTATTGTAAGGATGATTACTGAAAGATGCAACCACACTATATAATTATCTTCTTTACCTTAGAAGATTGAAGATGCAAACTGTAAGAAAAATATATATATATATGAAGTTAAACCATCTATGTACAAAGGAAATTCACCTTATAGCACATTCGACTTTTGACCTACTTTTTATGGTTTGGGGAACGGTTCAAGCTATAGACCAGTAGCAACCTAAAAGTTCCACCAAATGTTCACTTTTCGCATTAGACTGATTTGTTGCGAGATGTTCTTCAAAATTAGAGGATACATTACAAATTTTCAACTAGCATATGCTGCATTATCTTCAAGAAGTCAAAGCTCCGACATCAATGCTATCTCAAAGAAGTATGAAACAAACATGATTAATGGTAAAAGCGATTGATTGTCATATAAGCAAAACTAGATTTTTCCTTCATATGGTAAGAGGTCCACAAAGAGTAAGGTTCTAAAAGCGATCCACATAAAAGGAACTTCAAATTTTAAGCGAAAGAATATATTGTACCTCCAGATAGGTTCATCGACGGGTAAGGAGCAATGGCCCTTGATAGCTCCTAAAATAGTTGGTATTGAGACTCCATAAATACCATCTTTCACTAATCTAGAATCTTGACCGTCTTCATAATCTTCAAATCCTCTACATTGCGTCTGAACTATAGAACCATTTGAAGCCAAATGTCTTGACTCTTCACTGACATCAAGATTTTTCTTGTGCTTTTTTCCCATTTGTCCGTTTCTTCCTTTAGTGGACTCCACATTGCCAATATCATCTTCCTCCCTACCCAACACATTTGGAATTCTTCCTTGGATACATCCCTCCAATTTCCTTTTGACGAGTTTGAATTCGTTCACATGATCAACAGTAGAATGTTCACTGCACTCATCGCTTATGCGTAGTCCACCATCCTTTCCATCTCTCAACAAGTCCTCACTACACATTGGGCGAGCATTCTTCTGCAAAAGGTTGGGATGTTCTTTCGCCACTTCCTTGTTTCCTCTCTCTTCTCTCCTAGTTGAAGGTTCACTTCTCATTTGATGGGCATTCTCATTCTCCCCCAGATGGATCTGATGGTCATGCGTCACTTTTTTATTTCCACTCTCTTCTCTCCGAGTTGAAGGTTCCCTACTAATTTGGTGGGCATTCTTCCTCGAATGGTCATGACGATCATGTCTATTTTTTTCCTTTCCTCTATCTTCTCTCGTTGTTGATTGTTCAGTTCTCACTTGGCGAGCATTCTTCCATGAATGATCACGACAACCTTGTGTTGCTTCTTCCTTTCTTCTCTCTTCTCTCCTTGTTGAAGGTACACTTCGTACACCTTTTGATGGAGAAAGCATGGGCAATCTAGAAGGGGGCGATGTCAATACCTTACTTAATTTGCTAGAAGTGTTTGTCGTTGCATTGTACGGTTTGCTAGAAGAGAGACTTTCCTTCCTATTTGATTTCTTGGGTATTTCCTTTGAAGCCACAGTAGAAGTCACTCCATGTGTTTGAGCCTTATTCCTATCATCATTTCTTCTATCACCATTGACATTTCCTCTTTTGTTGGGTTGCCGGTAATAAAATTGGGATTTCCTCACATCATTCGCAATCCCATTCATTACTTTAGACTTAAACCCTTTGCTCCTCTTTGATCTACAATTTTTCCTTTGACTAGGACCAAAACTAGATCGAGTTGAATTTTTCATCTTGCTGCATATGATTAATATAATAGCTTTAGGTACGTCAAGAAATACCAACATACAAGAGCTTTAAAGGCGTATAAAAAATATATAACAATTGTCATAACTATACATTTAAATAAATAATTCACATTTTGGCCCATCTACAATGTAAAAACAATATGTTCTTTTTAGGAGTATCTAAGGGGATGTCTAATGAACAAATCCCAAACCAACATAGGTATGTTATGGCTTGGCAAAAGAAGTGAGGCTAACTTGTTTTCAACACTAAGGCAAACTTAGACATAATACGAGGCACATTGATAAGTGGATCCATATAGGAAAGAAAATTCGAACTAGCCATGTTTGCAATCAAACATCTATTGAAAATACCCCTGCCCACCTAAATTACAAAGTGTGGCACCAAGCAAAAACATCCTAAACTGATCAGTTCTATTCTATATATCAAAACATATAAGCTTGGTAGTACATGCCCCCAAAAGAAATCATTAAATTTTCACCCTACTCTATGAAAATGTCACGATGACCACGTAATTTTGCTATACTAAAAATGACACTATTCCAAAAGGAATCACAAATTTTGATATTCTTTTTTGTAACATCCAAAACAGCACAAAAAACAAAAAATACTTGTAACAATTAGGTTGACAACAAAATCCCCCAAACTTCCAACACAGTTAGAGTTCACGATGGACCTCCAACACAAGCTTCGTAGTACATGCCCCCAGAAGAAATCATTAAATTTTCACCCTACTCTATGCAAATGTCACGATGACCACGTAATTTTGCTATACTAAAAATGACACTATTCCAAAAGGAATCACAAATTTTGATATTCTTTTCTTTAATATCCAAAACAGCACAAAAAACAAAAAATACTTGGAACAATTAGGTTGACAACAAAATCCCCCAAACTTCCAACATAGTCAGAGTTCACGATGGACCTCCAACAAGTCGTTGGACCTCCAATCGCAATGCTTGATCTTTGAGCCTAAGGTGATTGTAATGCTTTCATCTTGAACTTAAGGCGGTTGCAACCCTCATGGAAGCAAGGTAGGAAAAGCTCGTGAAGAGCGAGTCAAGGTGACACTAGAGCACACAAGGCGATCTGAGCTCACTAGAGCACACAAGGTGATCTGAGCTCTAGGTGGACACAACTTAAGTGTCTTGCAGGGAAGAGATGGAAGAGATGTAAATATATTTTAAAATATTTTGAAGTATACTTTACCTAAAAGTAAACTTCAAATGCATATTCCAATCTAAACTGAAAGCCATTGTTTTCACTCAACTTTCAGAAGCCAATAACATTACACCATCTTCTAAAGTTGTTTTTGTTGAAATGGCGACTATTTGCTACTGTTAACTCCTATATTATGTATGTTGTTCTATCGTTGTTTCCTAGATCTACCAAGATAGGATTTTCTTGTTCTTATGTTGGTCCAATTTTAAAAATTAATAAGGGTGTAAGACAACAAGTGCCCAAAAAGAATTTACCCTTTTTAGATAGGTCACATAGTATATATGGCTAGTAAAAATTTATAATTTTACAAGATTTTTCTAAACACTTCGCAACAGAAATATTCATGATTAAACTATTAAAAATAAAATGATGTCTAAATTGAAAGTAAATTCAAAAATAATAACTTTGTTATATTTTTCATAGTGTATATAGTAATTACAAACAAATGCCTTAGTAACCATGTCACTTAGTCCTTCAGGCCTATAAATACGATGCTAGAGGTCAACTAAAAAGGCAAATTATTGCCAGCAAAATATTGTTCATAAGTCTATGGTGCCCTTATTTTTGTATGTAAAAGGATACAATAGATGTTTTTTTTAGTTGAACATAGACTTTTGATAAAACTTAAAATGTAGGTCATTTGCATACTGAAAAACACATTAAACAGCCTAAGTCATTAGCACATAATTAAATCTGAAATATCAAAGAACCAATAGCACATAATTAAATCTGAAATATCAAAGGACCAAATTGAGTATGCCCCCAAGAAAGGTAGAGTATTCCCTATTAGCTTTCATTATTAAAGATCTTGGGCTTTCCTATTAGCTTTATTCTACCTTGACTTCTCTATAATAGTAGAGAACACTCCGTAGATATTGATACTCTTAATATGTCACCTGTCATGCTAGTCACATGCCTCTACTAGCTTCTGGTAGAGTAAAGATGTGTGTGATGAAGAATAGTGACCACACATAAGAACAAAGACCTTAACACATGATCTTAAATGTTATTCCATTTAAGCCTAGTGAATGGACGGCAAATGCAAACAAATGGTCAATTGTGGGATATCGCATCAACATCTGTCCACAATTTTTAGCCACTGTTTCCACTTTCAGGCCGCTCTAAATTCTTCCCCGACCTTAACACATGATCTTAAATGTTATTCCATTTAAGCCTAGTGAATGGACGGCGAATGCAAACACATGGTCAACTGTGGGATATCGCATCAACATCTGTCCACAATTTTTAGCCACTGTTTCCACTTTCAGGCCTCCAATTTTTAGCAGTAAAGATTAAACAAGCGCGCTAAAAACAGGAGGGGGAAATCACCCATATACCTTGCTGCCCAACCCCACCGGCCGGCCGACCACCACCACCACACGAACAGCAACGGAACGGAAGACGAAGCAGCACACCAACAGCAGCAATCTCACGGCCGCATACACCCCATCCCGTCCGCCACCACGAACTCCCCCCAAAACCCGAAGACGGCGGCGGCGGCGGCGGCGATCCGGCCTAGCAGCGGCCGCAGCAACCGCCGGCGAGCGAGCAAGCGAGACGAAGAAGCGAGGAGAGGAGAGGAGGAGACGCGAGAGGGAAGAGAGAAGAGGAGAGGAGGGGGGAAGCGAGAAACCGAAGAGGCCAAAACCCCACTCGCCCGTGGCGTATTTGTAGTGGGGGGATTGGGGGAAACGGGGTGGGGAAGTAATCCTCCGGAGGAAACGGAATCGAAAACGGAAATCGAAAGCGCGAGTTGGGCATAATCTGCTCCGGATTCCGTTCGCCTCTACTATATCTGTGCCGTTACTTTGGATGCGCCGTTTTGACACGATACGGCCGGGTTCGGGTTCCGGGATTCGCGGACCCGCTTTGGTTGCGGGTGGTGGTGGGGCCGGGCCACGTTCCCTGCTGCACAAGTGCACAGCAGCCACCTGTTCTGTTGCTGACACGGTGGCCGTGGCAGGGAGTTCAGTTTTCGTGTCGTGTTGTGTTGCCGCAGCTCTACCTGTACTACACTTCTTGTAACAGTTGGTCGTACTAGCAACAGTTGGTCGTGCCGAGAAACACAGAAGGGAAAAGGCAACAGCTAGTCGCTGGTAAACCAACACACGAGTAGTAATAATTTCATGGTAGGAGTACTAGTGTACTCCTTGTAAAATTTTGTTTCAAGTGATATTAATAATGGCTCCTTATCTTTAAAAAAAAAAGACATTTTCAACGTACTCGCCAAACTAAAATTTAGCCAATTTGATGAGGAAAAACCCTCCAACAACCTTACCAGCCGAATGGCTAACCAAGCCACCCGGCTGGTCAAGTTGGTTCCCCAACTGGTCAAACCAGGTTATCAATCGTGACCCTACGTCATCTGACACATGTCTCTACCTCTGTTTATCCCCACACCAAGGAGCACCGCCACCACCATAGTTGTTAAGGTCGCAATTGCCATTTGGCATCCGCCACTACTGTTGAGGTTATCGCGTCTACACTGTTGCCAGCCATTGCCATCCGATGCGGCTGTAATCGTCGCTACCGGTAACGCGCGATAGTTTTCCGAGGTAAATATTGGTAGTCCCGAGGCCAAGCAATGATAAATACTATTCTGGTTGAAACAAAATTAAGTAAACAAAGATGACTCACGAAAGGACTAGTAGATTGTTTAAATTCAATTAAAAAATCAAAGCATAAATGTTCTTTTTTTATTAATGAAATACATGTGCATATACACACACCCTACGCATGCACATGGCAAACATTTCTTGATGAGTTCCTTAATCACATTACTCAATATTTTCACCTTATCTCACCAATTCTTCCACCTCAACCATTTCCTTAACGAGAGCACTCTCTTTGTTAATCTTAATCTATATTAAACAATATAAAAATATTTATATTCAATTATATAGAGTTGATGTGACTACACCTAGCAACTACTCAAATTTCAAATTTCAACCTTGAAATCAATGCAGTTATGGTAGTAGTACCAGCAAAAGCAATCCCAGCAATCCTATACCTTAATTTTTTTTATCTCATAAAAAAAACTTAGTATAAGATGTACTAGATTTGCAGTATTAAAAATTATCACATCTCATAGTTTATTTTTCTTGAGACAGAGGAAGTACATCTGCTACTAAAAAAATACTCCAAGAATAGATATAGATAAATACATTTTTAAACGAAGGGTGTACTTTCTCTATGTACTGGAGCAGTACGTTGATTTATCTTTGAGATTAGAATATATTTTTTGGTACGAAATGAGGCTGTGTTTAGATTGGCCTAAAGTTTAGAATTTGGTTGAAATTAGAGATTATGTGATTGAAAAGTTGTGTGTATTAAAGGTTTGATGTGATGGAAAGTAAAAAGCTTGGAAAAAAAACTTTAGAACTAAACACACCCTGAGTAATAGTCTCGATTCCCATGAAAACCAGCACGAACATAGGGGGTGTTTAGATAAAGGGGTGTAAAGTTTTGACGTGTCAATAGGGTGTTCGGGTACTAATAAAAAAACTAATTACAGTATCCGTCAGTAAACCACGAGACGGATTTATTAAGGGTGTGTTTAGTTCCTGAAAAAAGTTTAAAGTTTAAAGAAAGTTAGGAGTTTGAAAAAAAAGTTGAAAGTTTATGTGTGTAGGAAAGTTTTTGATGTGATATTATATGATGGAAAGTTGAGAATAGGGGAAAACTAAACACGGTTTAAGCCTAATTAATCCATCATCAGTAAATGTTTACTGTAGCACCATATTGTCAAATCATGAAGCAATTAGGCTTAAACGTTATGCATACGTAACAAAGATTCATCTCGCAAAGTAGTCGTAATCTGTACAATTAATTATTTTTCTAGCATATATTTAATATTTTATACAAATGTTTAAACGTTCGATGATACGGTGTAAAATTTTGGGTGGAATTTAAACGGACCCGTGCTACCATGGGTCATGGGTCAGAACACGTCCTCTCTACTCTGTCAGTCTGTCTGCATAGAACTGGACTGTACGAGTACTCCAGATTGGAGAGGATGGAACGAGCAGTGCGTCAGGTGTGCAATCCGCTGCGGATACGATAGCCCACGTGCTCCTCTATTGTAGGAGTACAGTATGTACGACGCGCCTTCCGGTTGACCGTTGGCTTGTGTGCTACGGTTTGGTTTCCAAACGCTAGTGAATAGTGAAGTGATGCAGTCAGGTGGTGTTTGTGAAGGAGGTCACAAAAATTTTAGTCCCTGCTCCCTCCGTCCTAAAAAAAAGTCAAACCCTGGGTTTCCGTATCCAACTTTAACTGTCCGTCTTATATGAATTTTTTTTATAATTCGTATTTTTATTGTTGTTAGATGATAAAACATGATTAATATTTTATGCGTGATTTGTCTTTTTAATTTTTTTTCATAATTTTTTAAATAAGACGGACGGTTAAATATTGAACACGGAAACTAGGGTTTGTTATTTTTTAAATGAGGGGAGTATAGTTTTTTCCTCATTCCCAAACACCTTCTCAACATCCACACTTTTGTTTTTTTCTCACCGCTTCATCAGCGATCTAATCTGGGCACCTTTTCCGAATTTTATTTTATTTTTGTGTGGAGTCCTTGATCTCTCTGTTTGTAGTAAGTACTCCTATCCATACCCAGTACACTACCAGCTGGGCACGTCAGATGTATACAGTATGGCCCTGTTTAGATTCTAAATTTTTTTTTCGAAACTTCTAACTTTTTCATCACATCGTTTCAATTTCGGCCTGTTTAGTTCACACCAAACAAACATCCAACTCCCAACTTTCCATCACATCACATCACATCCAAAACTTTCCTATACACATAAACTTTCAACTTTTTTTTCAAACTACCAACTTTCCCCAAATTTCTTCTCAATTTCAGGGTGTGTTAGTTTCAAAATTTTTATTTTTCTAAATTTTTAACTTTTCATCACATCAAATCTTTCATACACACGTAATTTTTCAGTCACATTGCAAAGCCTTCGTTTCACGTCGTGTTGTTGCTGCTCCACACACCTAGTATACTCTTACTCCTACTACCGGTAGTAGAGTAGTGCTAGGAGACTTTGTACTGTGTCCTTTCTGTTTTTATTTACTGTATGGCTGTTGCCTTTTCTGTTTTTTCTTTTTTATTTCCTTTTGCTGTTTCCTTTTTCTAATTTCAACATTGTACCTGATTGGTACTCCTATGAAGAGTAGGCTCGATTTCCAATAAAAGCCATACCGAGATTGACACGGATTATCTTCTCTGCTGAACCCGACAGGTGAGGTCGTGTCGTGGACGTGGAGTGTGGCACTAGCAGTGTCAGTGTGCTCTCAGCCTCCAGCCAAAAGCCACTGCACTGCAATACTCCGCCAACGCCTCTGCAATGTGCTCCATCCGTCCCAAAATAGTTATCTATTTATAATTCAAATTTTATCAAACAATATTTATTACTTGTCAGTACTACTTATCATACCAATCAACTCCGATTTAAATTTTTACTTATTCTATTCTCACCATTCTATTGCTTCTATTCAAATAAGGAGTAATATAGTTTTTACTTTTCAAAACATAATTTATGCTAAACAACCTAGAAAGGCAAGTATTTAACCTAGAAAGACAAGTATTGTGGGACGGAAAAAGTAGGAGTAGCGAAACCATGGAAATTGTATGGAGTATGTAGGTTGTGTTTAGTTCCATGTCAAAATTAGAAGTTTGAAGAAATTGGAACGATGTGACCGAAAAGTTAGAAGTTTGTGTGTGACAGAAAAGTTAAAAGTTTGAAGAAAAAAAGTTAAGAACTAAACAAGGCCGTAGTACTACTATCAATCTGCTCTCTGCTTCGTGCTACTATTGCGGCTCCCTTTAATTCAAAGGAAATTCATAGTTTTAGAGTATTTTATTCTTATAGAAATGTTTTCCTATATAGCCCTTTGAATCAAAGGAATGAATTCTATGGAACCCTATAAAATTACTATAGAATGCCTAATGTCATGTAAGTTTTGAAGGAAATCTAACATAAGGTAGAACCTCATGGAAACTTTCCTTTGAGTCTTTATCTCTCCTCTAATTCTTGTTTTTCATGTGGATCAATTAAACAGTCAGTCCTGTGTTTTACAATCCCCTGTTTACACTTATATTTCTATCAAAATTCTATATTTTTCTTATTCCTATATTTTCTCAATCTTACGGTTGAAAATGCTTTTGGTTTCCAAACAGCAACAGCAGTTAATAGATTGCTTGCTTTTTCACCTACTACTACACGGTTTCCGTTTTGCTCCTCCGACTCCGATCCGTGTCCATCCATCCATCCAGTCACGGTGGGATAGTTCTTTCTCTTCTCGCTGCTTCGCGAGTTACCTATACTTACCTACCGTCTTTTACTCTTTACCGATACCACGTCCAGCTAGAAATGAAAGTTGAAAATGGTACATTATTTTATTATTTTTTTCGAAAATAAACTAAAACAGTCAGGAAATTTTCATATTTATGGATTCATCTATTTAGTGTCAACTTTAATGTCACGCTGATAAAAATTTAAAAACTAAAATTTAAAAACGGTAACCATCAGTAAAAATATTATTATTATATTAGTTTCACGGTCGAGAAATTTCCATACCGTTTTCGCCCCTACTTCCAACCGTCCCTAGTATCCATCAATGAATTCAATGTACGGCCGACGTTTTTTCACCGCTTCCACGATCTTATCCGGAGCCCCTTTTCTTTTTTCCTCATTACCAATCAACCAATGTTATTTTTCTACGTTTGCTGTTGGACAACTATACTTCTGTCACGTTTTCTTTTCAAAAATAATGAAAGTAATGCTAAGGGCAACAACAATATTTATGTCTTTGGTAGAAATAAGGTAGGTCCCACCACACCCTACAACTATGGTCACAATGCTTAAGAGAAGATCAGTAAACCGTGTAGCCATATCATCTATAATAAACAGTGTAGCTAATGTATATAATAGAAATACTATAGCACAAATAATTTATTATCTTAGTGGTACCCGCCATCTTCTCCTACCTCTCTCTTTCTCCCTCCTATCCCCTTTCTTGTGACCTTGCCTGTCTTCTCTTTTTTCTTTACATGGATGGCAACCGTGCGACGGAAGTGAGTGACGACGGCGGTGGTCAGGCCGAACGGTGGGCGTGCGGATAACGCGGAAGATGAGCAGGACGAAGGCGGCGACCGTGCTAGGCGATGCGACAGGCTACGACGGCCGTGCTGGGCGACGCGGCAGGCGACGGTAGCCGTGCTTGAAGACGACGAAGGCAGACGCGGAAGATGTCGGCAGTCGATCCGGACGACGCGGACGCGGAAGACGAGGACGGCTGAGCTGGACGACATCGGACGCAGAAGGCGACAACGGCCGATTCAGGCGACGGCGGACGATGGTGGTCGTGCTGCGATGCGAAAGACAGGCGGTTGATCCGGAAGATGGCGGACGCGGAAGACGGCTGAGCCGAACAGTGGCGAACGTGGAAGACGGCGGCGGTCGATCCGGACGACGCGGACACGGAAAACGGCGTCGACCCCGACGGCGGCCGCAGACGACGGCCGCGTCGACGAGGGCGTACGGAAGCATGCGGCTAGCGCAGGTCCTTCCTTTGAAAAGAAGTATTGGGCGTCTTTAGGGCTTATCTCGTGTATTCCAAAGGGTCTCAGACCCCTAGCTAACAGATATGGGACACTCTAGAGAAGCATCTCCCAATGAATTTACCTAAGAATACCTAAGAATAAGTTCTAGTTTTAAATCCATTGTAATTTTTTCCTCTTCTTCTTTTTCGAGTTAGTTTTTTTCGGAGCAAGGGGTTTGAACCCGAACTCCCTCTCCGGCCAGAGAGGATTTGAGTACAACATTGATTGCGGAAGATCTTTGTTCCTAGTCTCATATTCTATGAATGCCCACAATCGCTTGTGAAAGAATCAGCTCTTCTTTGCATGTTCGCGAGTTTGATGTATCCCATTTGATATCTTCGTATCCGAGAATCAACAAATTCTACTCCGCATTTTTGGCAAAATCGCCATCCCTACGGGAGGTGGGCCCACAATCTTGGGTTGCGCGTGGAGTCGGGCAACTAATTAGTCGCCCTGCTCGTTCTCTCTCCTCAACTATCTCTCCACATCATCCAAAAATCCTATTACGTGGTGTTCCTATCGCTAGTTATTGTACCCGCTCTAAGATAAGAATTGATGGTAAGATGGGTTCCATAACTATGTAAAGAAATTCTACTTTAAAATAGGTTCCACAATGTCATAGAGTCATTCTCACCCTCTCTAGTGTGCATGTGTGTTTTATCTCATTATTTTATTTTTTAAGGTTGAGCCATAAACTTATAGCTATTTTTAGCCATTAATGCCTAATGGATGTCCATAATGTCTATGACTTATTTCAGGGTCTTTTCTTATGGTACATTGTGGATGCCCTAAGTCCCTAGCAAATCACCATGGTTTTAGTTGTGGTCTTTTTCTTTTATCCTACAACTATATCACGTTTTAAAAATATCTAGCAGTAAAGATCACAAATTTAAGTTTCAAGTACTCTCTCTATTTCATAATAAGTTTTTTTTTCTTCTTATGTTTATTCTTAAAAATAAATTTATTTTTAATAAAAATCGTTACACAGGAGTTTGTAAAAACATAGAATAGAGAATTATTATATTGGGAGCATGAGAAATAATTATATTGATATTTGATAAAGGATATTTAAATATTTTTTGATTTTGTATTAGGATGTGTGGAATAGGTAAAAAATAAACTTATTTTGAAACGACTTTGGCCCCGTTCAAATCCTCTATGAAGAGAGGATTAACTTTTGGATTTTCGTGGCATGCTTTCCAAACTGCTAAACGGTATGTTTCGTGCGAAAACTTTCTATACGAAAGTTGTTCTAAAATATCAGATTAATCCATTTTTCAAGTTTGTAATAATTAAAATTCAATTAATCACATGTTATTACCACCTCATTTTACGTAAAACACTTAATCTTCATCTTCAGAACATTCAAACACCACCTTTGTATTGGTATATGTGGGATAGATAAAAGATAAATTTATTTTTGGAATAGATGTAAGATGTAGTAGTAAATTTTGCCTTTCTTTTACGTCTCTGTTACGAATTCAGCTCCTGCTGCATGCGTTTCAAAAACAAAAAAAAGGGGGGTCCACCTAACTCTGTCTACCTCCTGCACTTGCCTAATGTTATGGTTCCTGTCTATCCAGTGACCTTGCAAACTCAAAGAAACCATACAACACCACACTAATTGATGGAACTATCAATGAAAACCCCCAGCATTGTATAGCAATGAACAACATGAGATCAAGATGATCACAAAAACCAATAGCTACATTGGAAATCCCAGTCAGCTACACAAAACAAACATGTACAGGCAACAGCTAGAGAAAGAAAGAGAAACCGTCAGTTCCGTAAACGCTACAGTTTTTATTCACAGACAAAATTATTGAGGCTGTCCAGAACTTCAGCAAAACACCAGAATCACAGGAGCTGCTCATCATGGCAGCTCTGAAGGTGCTCGCCGAAATGCGCCAAGGCTCAAGTCCAGTTCTACTTCTTTAACATCTACCTGAGAAGTCAATCCAATCTGCTCATGCCGAACCGGGAACAGATCCAGGCAGGCTTCAGAAGCCGAGTCGGGGTCATTGTGATCAATCGGAACGAATTCAATGGGTTCACAACGCTCCTGCACATGTTGACAGCCACTGTCAGGGGCCTGAGCTGCTCCTACTCCATTGCTCTTGCTTATGGTAGATCGATTGATCGTCATATCTTCCGGCACCGAGAATAAGAGAGCACCTTCCTTGACCATCTCCTGGATGAGTTGCTGACATCTTTCAGACCGTGCTGTAACGAATCCAAACAGTCTGGTCGCGGAAGGTAAAGAGTCGATTGGTGGATTGGTAGCATTTTGATCATTCCTTCTAGGTAAAGAGGTGAAGTCTTGCTCATCTTCTTTCTGGTCTGCTACACCAGGCTCATGAGGTTTATCGCCAAGTCCTGGTTGCATAAAGCATGGTGATCCACCCTTCACAGGGCTTGCCTTATTACTTGACAAACAGCTATCAGGTGAGAAACAACCTTCTCCCAAAGCAGTTTTGATGTCCCCCTCCCGTGCCTCCGGGTTACAGTCTGCAGGCAATCGATCCTCGACATGTTTCATGACATAACTTTCTTTGTCCGATGACCCTTCCTCCGAGGCAGAGACCAAGCCACATTGTTCTTCAACAAGAACAGCTGTGTCAGGATTATGTTTCCTGGCCTTGCACACTCCCCACAGGTAGTATTTCCCCTGGAACTCTGAAATATCACACAATTTTTGTTCATCAACTGCTAAAACGAGTAAAAAAGTATTATGATATAGAATGAAACAACAAAACTTCATCCCCAGTAACACTGGTTTGCAAGAAAATAATTCCAAGCAATAACTAATAGCCATGCTTAGCTCCACCGAACTTCCTGATTTGGGCACTAGGTGCAGTGCCATGTCTAGTATAACATTTGCAGAAGCAAGAAATCACCAAGTGGGCACTTACCATGATATTGTTCTGGTAAAAGAATAGAGGGGAAGATTAGTAGCTCCACAGTTCCTAGAACAGCTTTTAAGACAACATCACTCTCAATTACTTCTTTCACTAGTTTATCTAATTCTTCATTTGGCCTGGAGATGAAACAAGGGTGTTAGACCTTTAGTCTCAGATCAGAGGAAAATAAGTGAATAAACATAACATAATACACACCTCATACTATGCGGGAAGAAAAACAACCCAATGCTGTCGTCAGTAGGTCCTGATTTGTCCCACCTCTCTGGCCATGCTTTCAACCTAGGGAGCTTGATTACTTCAACTACTGGTTGCAACGATCTTGCAAATTCCGACACTCTCTGGCATGCTTTAGTTGATAGGTGTGCAGCCAACATAATAGGCACATTGCTATCTGTCATAAAGATACCACTAGAAGAAAAAAAAATCATTCACATTTTGTGCAAACAAATAAATATTACTCAAGAGGAAAAAGGAGAATATCACATACCTCCAAGCAGGCTCACCCATAGGCTCTGAGTAAATATAATACTGATGTTTGGTGAAATCTGAAGCAAATGCCATTCTGGACTGCAGATGGTGGTCCTTGGCATCTACATGTTGTGAAGCTGTATTTGCAACATCATTCGGAGCACATCCAGTGGTCGTAGAACCTTTAATAACCTCTTCTTCTTCATCGTCACTTGGACATATGTATCTCCTCCGTTTCTTTGTGGGACAAGTGTTCTCCAAAGACCGGTGATCCAAACTATCCAGTAGTCCATGTTCATCATCTTCTAAACATCTCTGCCCTGTGGCATATCCAATGTGTATTTTATGCTTCTCAATTGGTCCTTCAAACTCAAGAGATAGGTGATTCAGATTTTCAGCATCCTCTTGTTTGTCATCATCATCATCTAGTACAATAAGCTGTATTGTCTTCCCTGGGTTGTCCTTTGCAATACTTTGAACAGTATTGCAAAGTTCCACCTCTACATCATCATCATCAGGTAAAATGAGTTTTCTTCGTTTGCTTGGGTTGTCCTTGACAACATTTTGAACAGTATCAGACAGTTCCACACCTACATCATCATCATCATCATCTAATAACATGAGTTTTCTTCGCTTCATTGGGTTGTCCTTACAGAAGTTCTTGACAGCATCAGAAGGTTCCATATGGGAAGAATTGGCCTCACGATCAATTTTCTCTTTCGACGAGTCTTTTGACAAGGAACCTGAACAAGCCCCATCTAGCAGCATTGAAGATTCTCTTCGATTTTCCCCTGTTAATATTAGTCTCACACTACTGTCTCTTGGATTTCCAATATCAATGTGTGCAGATGGCACACAATTGCTATCCATCGGTAGCCCTGTATTTGCTGAGGATGATACGTTTCGGGCCACAGAGTTTTCATGCAAAGTGGAAGACCGGGGCACATTAGCGGACATACTTTTCAGGTGTATATCATTGTTTGCCTCGTCATGCAACTGAAATCTTTCCTTATTTCTCTCCAACATCAAGTCATCACTGACATAGTCATCATTACCACCATTCATCCCAGGCTTGTCGTGGTTGGTATCCAGTGATGACTGATTTTCTGGCTGCTTGCCAACCACTGTTTTATCATCTAAAGTCACTTCTAAAGATCTTCTATTAGTACCTTTGCCATGCCTAGGATGGCATTCATCACATGACCAATCTACTGTCCCATCAAAATCAACTTTGTCCAGACAGTATCTACAAAATTTAGAACCACACAAAGGAAAAAATCATTATTAGAAAGATAAAATGACAATTAAATAAGTAATGGCAAAACAATTATACATGAACAATATCACAACTTATGTAGTTAACAAAAACTTTTCCATTAAGAAAACAAACTTATTATTAGGTACATCATTACATAGAAATTAAAATTCGCTCAAAAGAAAACTTATATTTCGAGTAAAGAAAACTCAAAACAAGTGCTCTGCCATGTTCAAATAGAGAAAATACTAACATTTAGCAGACAACAGTTGTTTGACATTCACATGCAAAATAAACTTGGTGTAAAAATTTGAAAATGACTGTAAAAAACAAAAAGAGACTGTGTGATGATCCAGTCTACGGTCATCGAATTAAATCATCATTAAAAACAACTATCACATTCATCAACTAAGCATTTGTGCTACATGCTATATTTAGTTTGAGAACATACCGGTGCACAGCAGCTCCGTTGCAGTTTTTGCAAGATAGCAGAAGATTTTTGTAACCAAGAACTCCACAAACTTCGCATACAGTAATCTGCATAATGCCAAAAAAAAATTTGGAAAAACCATCTCTTAAGCAGGTAATCAGAAAGTATCACCACTGACAGTAGGCATCATATAGTAAATTGAAGACAGTCAATGATCATCTTTAGGTAATAGTGTATGAATCAAAGATACACAACCAATTAACTATTAACAATCCAATATTAGGCAGGATACTGAAAAGACAGAAGTTTGAAAATATTTGTCAGACTTGTGATATGTGTTTTTTTTTACTTATCATGTTATCTCATGCATTGTTGCTTGACTGCCGATCTGTTTCATTCAATCTCATTTCACCTAATGACACATACAGCTCCATAGCTGCCACTGGCATCAAAAGAGGGGCAGGCATTCGGCGACAGTAGTCAATGCAAACAAAGCATAAGCCAGATATTTTCACTGGTGGTGCAGGAATTAACAAGATATCTCGATACTCTAAAGGACTTAGTTAGCATTGGCTAATTATCTCAAGATAAACAGATTGGGCTAATGATTAAAAAGTGATAAAGGAAGCATTTTGTCAAATCTGTACAGCATGAGCACAAAAGCCTCATCTATACTGTTACGGCGCCACAGTCTGGACAAAGTGCCATGGCTGAGGTCTACAGCCATGTCATCTCATTGGCTACTTCTTATGTCCCATTTCTCCCTTCCCAATACTAAAAACAACTTGGTTTGAAAACCCTTTCCATCTGTAACGAATACACCTCGCCCTTACCATGCCACAACAACACAACTATGCCACATCCAGATTTTAAGTAAAAGTAAATTAAATAAGCTCTGTCATTGGTTAATGTGACGCTCCCCACTACAAATTGGAAGATGATTCATGAATGATGAAAAGGTGTATCTGTGTAAGCACCATATTCAATACCATTGCACCAATGAATGGCTTCGATTACAAACCAACTAGGCATAATTGTTACAAAAGCATCATGAGGCATATTTGATCTCATCAAAGGCTCATCAAAGAGCAACAATGGCAGGAATCAAGTGACTTGTAACAGCCATATTATGGTGTATTTGTGACATATAATCAGCCATATTTAGTGGCTTAAATCTCCCTTAAATACTAGGAGAATCACAGGCTTGTATACATACAAATCCTCACTATAAAAGGGGACATATTGAGATCAATAAAACTTGAAGGGATTCACTGTTTTCACTGTTCATCTATCGTTTTCTAACAATAATGTTTATACTCCATAGTTTTGCCACTCTGAACTCAACTTAGGCATGCTTAGGCTTTTTTAAAAAATAAAATAAATACTTCCTCCGTTTCACAATGTAAGTCATTCTAATATTTCCCACATTCATATTTATGTTAATGAATCTAGACATATATATTATCTAAATTCATTAACATCAATATGATATGGGAAATGCTAGAATGACTTACATTGTGAAACGGAGGGAGTAAAAAACATACATAGGGTTTATTGTAAGTACTCCATCCATTTCAAACTTAATCCTCGTTTCAGCTTTGTTCTAATCAAACATTTGTAACTTTGACCATCAATTTCTAAAAATTCATATGGTTTAACATGTGAATTATATATTATGAAAATATTTCTCATGGTGAATTGAAAAACATAAATTTCACTTTGGGCCATCTTTTATTACCAATGTTTCGCTTTAGACCACCATTTCACCAATGTTTTCACTTTGGACAGGGTATTTTCACCTTTGTGGCACTTTGGACCACACTCAACTCTTTTATCCATCCACATCGAACTTATAGCTGTGACTGTGAGAGTTAATTGACGAGTAGGAAACATACTCGAGATTGTTCATATGCTCGAGAAGAAAATCGGGGTGATCCAAAGTAAAAACAATGGTTAAAAGGTGGTCCTAAGTGAAACATTGGTAGTAAAATATGGCCCGAAATGAAATTTACTCAATTTTTGTTAGAAATCGATGGTCAAAGTTAGAAATGTTTCACTTAGGACAAAACAAAAGACAAGTAATTTGACAAGGAAGGGATAATTTAGTAGTGATATGCACAAAATCAATAAAAATATGCAAAAACAATGAAAATAACCGTCAATGAGGAAGTCGAGGTGAACTGAAGGTGGGAAGGTATGGTAACCATTCAACAGACAGTGTGCACTGTCCTACCATTTGTTTCAATTTGGAATCTCACAATGGCCATTTCACCTAGATTTCGGGTTTGCTCACTTTGATGCCAAAATTAAAACTTCCAAATTTTGGTGACACTAAAATTTGGCAAAGTTTGGTAATGCCAAATTTTGGTAGGATAAAAGTGTATGGGTGTTGTTTGTTTGCCACCATGCCAAATATTCTTGTATAGTGTTATGTGGAAAAGTTTCTAGAAAATCACCAAAATTTGGCATGGTAAGGCCGTAGAGTATTTGTGATGTGTTCAGCTTACTACCTTGCCAAAATTTGAAAATGCCAAAGTTTGGGGTGGTTGAAAATCCTCCTCTGTTATTACTCCAAAAAAGAGAATATTCTGCCATCCCTATGAGAAAGCTCGCGATTCTTGTGCTCAAAAGAAAGAAAAGAAAGGCTCGCGGTTCTAACCAAGAAAGAAAAGCGGTTCCATCCGCATGGCCTACCTGATACCCAAACCGAAGGATATATAACCGAAACAATGGTGGTCAAACCTATGCGCACATCATCGACCATCAAGAACCAATCTTTTCTTTTTCCATAGATTTTCTGTACACCGGCCAATTTTCCTCAATCAAAGAACCCAAGAAAAGCAAACAAGAGGAGATTGGGATGAAAGAGATTTTCTTTTTTTTTTGTTAAACAAAGAAAAAGAAAAAGCATTACCATTTTCCAGCACTTTGTTCTGCGACGCCAAAAGAATCACCAAGAAAAAGAACCGGTTCCAGCCCTGCACCTCAGATGGATTCCGAAATCCGAAACCGAAGATCTCTCCAAGAAAACAGAATCGGAATCCAACCAATGGAGGCCCCAATAAACCCGTCTCATCCCATCTAAATCTCCATCTCCTCCTCAATCTCTCCTAATCAACGAACCCAAGAACAGAACAGAACGCCCCCGCCCGCGGTGCAAGAAGAGAGATTCTGCAGCCGCGAAATCCGCTCCAAAAGACTGAGAGAACCTTTCTTGGACCCCTTGTCACTCACGAGCAAACAGGAGAAGAGAGGAGAGAGCGAAAGATAGAGTGGCACTGTGACCAAAGGAGGAGGAGGATGAGCACTGGAGCAGTAATAATGGCGGCTTTCCTCCTCGGATTATACTGGAGTATTATCGATTTCCTTCCTCTCTGGAGAAGAAGACAAAGGAGGATTAACAATGGCATTATTAACGACGAGTAGCAGCGCGGTTAAGGCGGTGAAGGTGAAGGAAAGGAAGGGAAACGGAGACGGTGTCGTCTCGGGGATCGTGCGCGAGATGGGCGCCGCGGGTGGTGACGCGTGGAGAGGGAGAGAGAGAGGTGGATGCTCAGCCGTTGGATTCTTGGTTTGGGTTTGGACGGACGGAGATTAGAGGGGGGAAGGAGTTCGAGCGCCCGTGAGCTTCTGCGGTTGGGACCCCCGTCACGGCGCCAAACGCGTAGAGGATTTTATGATGCGGTTACATGGAGTCCGTCGAGAAAATCTTGCTAGTGTCGTTTTGCCACCCGTGACGGAGGACTGGAAAAAATACTAGGCCCCCTCTGATTCAAAAGGAAATTCAAAAAATTTATATGAAATGTCTCTTCCCATATAAGTTTTGGAGGAATTTTAACAAGAGATACAACCTCATGGAAAAAATTCTTTGAGTCTTTATCTCTCCTCAAATTCCTGTGTTTTTCCTGTGGTCTAATCGAACGGTCATTTCTACGTTATTCCTGTGTTTTGTAATCCTCTGTTTTACCCTTCAATTCCTATCAAAATCCTGTGTTTTTTCTATCCCTCCATTTTTTTCAACCCTACGATTCAAATGGGCCCTTAGGTGTGGCATATGAACTCTTCTATCACAGGTTTAGATTTCGTCAACCATTTGTAAAAAGTGTAAATAGAAGAGTAGAGGTACTCAAAAATACCTCAACCTCTTAACATTCAGGCTTTCAGCAATACTTCATATATAGGAACTAGTGAAAATTGATAGACATAAGTAGAATATGTAAAACAAATAGCAAAGATTGATTAGTATACCATATTTGCGCTAATGGCTGCTTGGTGCTGGGGTGCTGCTCTGCTGCGTTGCGGGCTGCGGCCTTCGGGCTTCTCTGCTGTGCTTACGCTGCCGCCGCCGCGAGACCGCGACACTTGTATGCGTCTACGCTCGCCCACCGCCGCTCGCTCGCCTGGCCTCCGCGGCTCTGGCTCCACCTGCCTCCTATGCGCTGCGCGCCGCCTCAACCCTCTAGGCTCCGAAGAGGGTTGCAGCAGCCGAGGAGTCGTTGCCATGCCGCAGCTCTACGCCCGGGAACCTGGCCTCCGCGGCTCCACCTGCCTGGCTGCCTCCCGCGTGCCGCCCGCTACCTCCGCCCACTAGCCTCCGAAGGGTCGCAGGTCGCTGCAACTGCCAAGTCATCGACCGTCGGCGCCGATGGTGATGGGGAATGGATGGAGGATTGGAGGTGGGGATGGGGATTGTGGAATTTTAGGTTAGGGTTTTCTTTAGCAAAAAGAGCCCAATGGGCCTAATTGCTCACGGCTTCGCGCCCTCACCGTTGCTCGCACTCTCTCCCGCATAGGCGCGCTGCTCATGCACCTTGTTGGTAGCGTGGACGGTGACCATACCGAGTCCTCCACCACTGTTTGCCACCGTTGCCCGTGCAAAATTAGTGCGTGATTAAAATCACGATTATTTCCTTAATTAAAATGCGCCAATGATCGGAAACACCAACAATTTCCTTTTATTTAGATTGCCCCGATTTCCTCAGCGCAAAATAAAAGGGGAGACCAGCCGGTGAAAAAGATGACAATCTCACGGTTTCAATCTCCGTGACATCCCAAAAATCCTAATTCCAGATCCTTAGTTACACTATAAGGGAGTCGTAGTGATGTCCCAGGATAGTGCAAGTGGAGGCTTAAGGGACACCGCCACATCGTCTGCACAACTACTACGACTACATCCCTTACGCTGACGAACACCGGAGCGGTTCGAGGAACTGCTACCTCTACATCCACTCCGGTCGACGGCATTGCAGAGGGAACAAGAAGAACCACATCAATGGCTTCAAACAACGGCCAGTAACCGTAAGAATTCCACATTAGGGTGATCATGTTTAGGCTAAGCACTCATGTTAGTAGATCACAAAATCTACAGTAGCAAGCCAAAAATCCATGTGTTACTATTGCAGCTGCAAAAAAAGTTGGTAGAACAAAAATTGGCCTCAATTCAAACAAGCTCTTAAGACATCACTAATGGACTGTTAAAATTTAATCCTCCAAATTTTTTGAGAATCTCGAATAGGATTTATGCATTAAAAATATCATATCCTTCAAGAGATAGCCTAATCTAACTCCCCAAAACAACAAAAAGTGGACGATGTATAAAACTTTCAAACAAAATACTCCATCCGTCCCAAAATATAACAACTTTTAGTCTTTAACGTTTGTCCCAAAATACAATAACTTCTTCACCACATTCTTTTCTCAACCAATTATAACCCTCCAGCATTCAATTTCCTCACCTAACTCCACTTCTCAACCAATCACAATCCTCCACCATTTAGTTCTATTTACTTTCTTAATAACTGTGTCCAACTCTAAAACTCCTTATATTTTGGGACGGAGGTAGTAGTTATATTTTTCCGTATTGAGCGACCTCTCCTTGGGGCGTATGAACTCGCTCTGTGATAGATTGGGAGCGAGACCGTATCCTAACTTGTGGAGAATGAGATTTCTGAAGATGGAGATAGGGTTCTGAGCAGTTTGTTTGTAAGGTTACCATTGGAGACTGATTTTTGCTTAAAAACCTAGAAATTTAGGATTGTGAGTAGTATAACTAAAATATTGACAATGCTATAACAACCCCATAATATAGCAATATAGAATCAGATATAGCAATGCTAGGGAGGATATGAGACGGTTAATTCATACTCCCTCTGTTTCGTAATATTAGCATCACCAACAGACTATCGAAATTCAATCCCCTAATTTATTTTTTTGGAATATCTAATGTGATATAAGAATAAAAATATCCTCTCCTTTAAGAGAGCCTAATCTAACTTCCCAAAACTACAAACAGTAAGCAACGTGTAAAACTCTCAAACAAAATCAATCTCTTTTAATGTGTGTCCCACCCAGTACTGAATAGTGCAGGATTTCCCTACTGCCGCCAAATTGCTAAGCTTGATTGGAAGAGCGAAAGGGATAAAAAGTAGTAAAGTAAAAGAAGAATGGCCAAGATTTCTGAAATCTTGTTCAAACTGCAGTGAATTCGTGATACTATGACTTCCAATTCAAGCGAAAGGGATAAAAAGGAGTAAAGTAAAAGAAGAATGGCCAAGATTTCTGAAATCTTGTTCAAACTGCAGTGAATTCGTGATACTATGACTTCCAATTCATTTTAGGGTACTGTAGTTCTTTTTTTTCTTTTTGAATTACAAGTAACAGACCAACTGGGTCTCTGCCGTTCATTCGTTCTTGATGTCCATTATTGCTGAGTTCGGAAAGATTCTCTGCACGTACCTTTGCAAATATTCTCTGTTCTTGAAATGTACCGTATCCCTCCTGTTTGTACTTCCCACTTCAGTCAAACAGACTTCAGTCAAACAGAGATTGGAATCATCTGAAGTACTCCCTTCATCCCAAAAAAAGACAAACCCTGGTTTCCGTGTCCAACGTTTGACCGTCCATCTTATTTGAAAAAAATATGAAAAAAATTAAAAAGACAAGTCACGCATAAAATATTAATCATGTTTTATCATCTAACAACAATAAAAATACAAATTATAAAAAAAATTTATATAAGACGAACAATCAAAGTTGGACACGGAAACCCAGAGTTTGTCTTTTTTTTGGGACGGAGGGATTATCTCGTTTTCCACTTTCGACTTCTAATCATGTATCCTCAATTCAGGGAAGGAGAATGTGCAATAAATAAAACCGGCAGCATAAAGCCGATGGAAACAAATGCAAAGTGCACAGCCAATCTGATTATGAATTCAGACGTGCCACAACTAATTCAGCAATTGCATTAAAGATGAAAAAAAACCCAACATTTCCGACTGATTACTCTCATTTTTGCTGCTCCTTCCTAGCAAATAAATTATCTGAACTAGACCTAACTTTCATCATCATCACCACCGGAGGAACTCCATGCTCAGCAGCACATCTCGAGGGCATTGTAATATGAGTGCCCACAGGTGGCTAAAGCATAAGGTCCACTCCATCTAAAAGAAAATACTATAAGGATACATAACCAGCGAAGCCAACTATGACTATTAGTTAGTAGCAGCGGTTGGGGAAGCAGAATCACTCTCGGTCAGCGCTTCTCAATTGTCAAGCCGTTTGCACCCTCAGAAACCACCTGACGGATGGCGACACACGGTGTCCATTCAGGAATCAGGATGACCAAGAATGCATCGATCAACTGCGCGATGATCGGTCTGCTGTCTTGTGTCAGTCCAAATTGCTCAACCATTTCCACAGCCACAGAAAGACTTGTATCTTCAGTCAAATTGAATGGGAATTCAACACTCTTGAAACAACCTGAAAGGAAGTTGATGTTCAGTACAAAACGTGTTGTTGAATTCTGGAAAAGAAAGATTTCAAACAATATGATTACCGCTGGGATCAGGAAATCTTAGCCATAAATCAACATGGCTGGCTACATCAACATTTCCTGTCAGCAGAAACTCGCCCTTACGAAGCATGCAACTGACAGGCTGCTGCCCATCTTCAGACATATTCTTGACCAGAGAGACTGAGATAAGATCATCATCCTGGAGGAAAGAGCTTTTCAACAGCTCTGTTGCAGACATTCTGTTCTCTACTGGAGCTAAACAGTTCTCTATGAAAGATCTTACTTCTGCATCTTTAATTTTGTAGAACGCAGCTGGTTTCTTACCCTATATCAAATAGGTCATACAAACAAAAAGTTAAGTTGTTGGCTACTACAATCACTCTGGTATCTGTAGACATCAAGACCTTACCTCATCAATCTTTTTGAATATATGGGCCATGCCTTGACATTCACTGTATGGGTATTCGCATGTCACCATTTCAAGCATGCACATCCCAAATGAATATATATCAACCAATTCATTGTAATGCCCAGTTAACAGCTCTGGTGCCATAAATTCTAAGGTGCCTGCAGTTAATGATTAATATATCCTTATTACACATCCAACTGAAAGAGAAATCCTTTTTAAGATGAAAAGAAAACAGAATTATATGAGTCAAGAAAATTGGTAACATAAGTTTAAAAGTGGACATACATGCTAAATAGAATAGTTATGTTCTGAGAAAACTGTAACAGTTAGAAAACACATAAGATGGCAGACATATAACAATGTTGATATGAGATATCTACCTTTTATACTTTTTTTCTGTTGCTGCATGAATGTTGCCAAACCAAAATCACCAATCTTCACTTTCCCATGATTTCCATTTATGAATATATTGTCACATTTTAAATCCCTGTGTATAATTGCTGGCTTCTGACTGTGCAGATATTCTAGCCCTGTTAATATCTGTATTGCCCATCGTTTCATAGCCTTCATATTCACTTTCTTGTGCTTTCTGCGGTACCTGGTTACATGGTGACATAAAAAAGGTTACATTGTAATTTATAAGGTAAAAGAAACGCAGTATCCCTCTTGAAGTTTTAGGGTAAATAATTTTAAGCAACGCTCATCTAGTCATCTATACTGAATTAAAGGGCGGTACAAACAAATGACAATGAAAAGGAAAAGTTACCAAATATTATCCAAGAATTGTAAAGGAGCCAACTAAAACTTTAATTTGCACAATGGAAAACTGTAAAAATGTTCAGGTAGCACTAATTCAGTAAAAAAAAGGTATATTTAGAAGATAGATATCCAAACCAATGAATAGGCAACAGTTTATTAATATGCTCCAGCTGACAGCATAGTTGTCGTAAGGATGAGGGGCATACTGTGTCAAGCTCCCGGATGTGAACAACTCTGTGATTATGTTAACAGTCTTCTTCTCCCCATCAACCCATGAAGCAAACATTTTCTCAATGTTCTTATGCTTGAGTGTCTTCAAAAGTTGAATCTCTGTGTTTAGTTGCTTCATCTTCTTAGAGGACCCCATGACAGAGTCATCGATCCGGGATTGGCTCCATGCTACCTCGACACCCTCCAGCTTATCGAAGGCTTTGTAGCTATTTCCAAATCACAATTAAGGAATATGATATGAACAATATAATTTTGTCCCACCAGCATGAGACATTCAGGTTGTGAAACCCGAATTAAAGAAACACTGGAACATCTTGAATCAGCCAAGAATAAATAAACTTGAAATTTGTCACACTTTATCCATAATAGAAGTACAGATGGTTAGCAGAACTAAATATTTATGGATTAACATCTTTCCATGAATATATATCAAGGTTAATAAGGTCAACACCGATCAATAATTTTAGCCACAGATTACAGAAGCATGAAAAGTTCGGTTCCATCTCTGAATGTGTCTGTAGATTCTACATGGAATCGCGGGTGTCCATCATAAGTTCAGAACACATCTAATACTGATAAATAAATAATCATCGGGCATGGTTCTACTGTGATCAACAAATCGAATTATATTCCACAACTAATTCAATCGTGATAATTCAATCAAGAACAAAAAGGGCTAAACTAGAAACAGCACATGAGATTGATGAAAGGATACACCGTTTTGACGGCCCCTGACCCCACGATCTCATCATACTGCACACGCAGAGGGCAACAACAACAACAACAATTAGCCACCACCCGAATCCACCCATCTTCCGCAGCAGCAACAAAACCCTAGAAGGCTAGATAGAACTCGAACAGAAACGAGCAGGACAGCAACCCGTACCCGGATGAAGCGGCCTGCGGGGTCCGCCTCGACGTACCCCTCCTCGTCGCCGTCCTCGTCCGGCGGCTGCTCCTCCGCCTCCGCCTCCACCAGATCCATCGGACCCGCAGCCGCCGCCGTCGCCGCCGCCGCCGCTTTCCGCCGAGATTGTCAACTGCTTCCCAGCTGAGACCGACCCGCACGGCGGCGATTTAATAGCGGCGGGAGGAGGTAGGCGGGCCGATTCGTGGGCCCACGTTGGGTGGGCCCGGCCTCGCCAAGTCAGCGCGGGGGACGACGGGACATGTGGGTGGGGTCCACGTATCGGTGAGAGACGGTTCAGTGGGAGTTGGTCCATGAGATCGTTTCGGATAGGGATGGATTTCGTTTTTGAAGAAAATGGTTTTGGTTGGTGATGACGAACGGGAGTGCTGTAGGGATATTCTTTTCTGTGGCATGTGGGCCAACCTGCTCTCGATTAATACTTTTAACACTATGTACTATTAAAAAAATATCTGTGCATCATAACGGCTATTTTAATTTTTTTATTATTATATGGTTTATTTAAGATAAAATTTACGGTTAAATTCATCTGGATATGTATTTTGTTAGAAAATCATGAGCTACAATTACGAATCCGATCGTCTCATGTTAGCATACGAGTTATTTAAAGTTCCAAAAGCGAACAAACTTAAAAGCCGACTCAAATACGATTTATATTTCTAAAAACGAACTAACTTAAAAACCAGCTCGTACACGTATGACGTACCAAATTGCCGAAAAAAACATTCTTAATTTTTATAATAGTAGAGATAGAGATATGTAGTACTACTTTACTACAAAACCAAAATAAAAAATTCTGAAAGAAACTATTACCACACTTTATAGTACACCTCAACTCTAAGATTCAATTGGTTAAAACTGAACAGAGTAAAACTTCAGCACCATACCATGTACGGAGTAGATGATATACTCCATTTTTGTTTACATGTCTCTACCTTTACTATTATAAAAATTGAAGATATTTTTACCGATACTTTTGGTACGTCATCCTTGTTTGAATCGGTTTTTAAGTTCAATCGCTTTTGGAAATACAAATCCGCGTTTGAGTCGGTTTTTGATTTTGTTCGTTTTTAGAAATATAGAAGGAGTTGTATAAGAAATCTCTTTAAAAATATTGCATGCTAACTTGAGACGATCGGATCCCTAATTGCGGCTCATGATTTTGTAAAAAATATCCAAGCGAATTCTCACGGTAAATTTCACCTTAGCTAAACCATACAACAATAATAAGATTAAAATAACCTTCACCCGTTGCAACGCACGTGCATTTTTCTAGTTAAATGAAACAACTGAGAGAGTATTTACCAAGATAATCATGATAAAAAAAGACGGGGTATTTAATTGGCAGACACACTTTATCGTAACTAAGGTTAGACAAGTTGTTGCCATCATGAAAATATGGGAATAAATTTTTAGTCATAAAGTATGGAAAAAATTGAAAAGAAATTAAGTCTATGACATGTTAGACATGCTATTAAAAAAGTATGGAAAGCCACACCTATAACAGTGAACAAAATACACACCTAACAAAAGACAACTAAAAAGTGTGGTACAGCAAAATATGACCAATGAACCAAACACCTATATGCACACGAAGAAATTGCAGGACTGTAATTGATTTAGGCCTTTATGTAATCCTACATGTCATTTTATCAATAAGTATTTTTTGCACGCAGCTAGCAATCCAAGTGCTAGGGTCAATGTTCTCTCTTCATTGATCACCTTAATTATTTCTCTATCACCTATGGGGGCACTCCACTGGTTGATGGGACACTAGCTACTTTCTACAATATCCACTTGAGCCAATGAATTTTGTGTGAATTTTATTGAATTGAAATCCTATGAAAATATTTTCTACGAAGCCCTTTGGATTGTAAAAATGTATCCCAAAATTTCTATATGATTTCTTCCATTCCTTCATTTTTTCTTTAGATTCCAAACATTTCGTCAAAGCTCATGTTTTACAATTCTTTAAGAAGTCCAGGGCAACATGTCTTTTATCTCTCCCCTTTTACCTATGGTAATTAGGTTTTAATTCAAATTTCTATGATTTCCCTTAATTTTGGTACAAAAATTCATCAAACAACCCAAAGAGCAGCCCAGAAAATAAAGCATGCATGCAGTAGTTTAGCTGCAATTGTTGAAATAGTTAGCCTCTGTACTGCCTTCAACTAGCAAAGAATAGCCCAATTATTTGACCATTAGTGAATGATCAGGGAGGCTGATTGAGAAATTTTGCAATCTCATCTTCCTTGAGGCCTCTCATGTCTATGTAGAAACATCTGTGTGATTTGCCAACATCTATGTGGTGCTTTCTCTCCCTCACGCCTTTGATAGTGTACCCTCTGTATGTGTGGTTTTATAAGCACAAGATGGAATTACATAGGGCATACCATTCGGGAAACTGAATGTGATTCCCAATTTAATTACATCAGAAAAAAATTCTTTAGGAAACGCTAAAATGTGTTTTTATACACATGAGGACATTTAAGAAAATGTCACATAAACAGCCGACTGCCAAATTCTAGTATATATGATATTGACCTGCCTTTTGCATTGCACTACAATGCACAAATGCAATTTTCCATTTACTACTGCCTCAAGATGGACACCAACTAACCACATATACGGAAGGCTCTATTAATAAAAAGTATAAATAAACAAACAGTGGAATAATGGAGCCAATGCACAATGCATGCTATGCTTTTGCCGGAGGATCGGATTTGCACTACAATAAGTCCCCTTGCCTCAATTTGTTCAGTGGAAAAGAAGCCACACATGGAATTTGTTCAGTGTCCTAAATGAATCATGCTAGAATTTGTGACGGACACCAACTTTCCACATGGAACTTACAAAATCGATCTTTTGTTTAACTCCATGTACCTCTAGAAATGCATCCAAATTGAAATGTCGATTTTAGAATAAATGCGCCACATACACTAGCATGGCAAAAGTGGATATATTAAATCATGTTGGTGACCCTGTAAAGGCATCTCTTGGATAAGCCGTTTGCTACTACGGACAGTTCAAGTAACAGCTTCAGCGCTGGACTGTTCACTCTGTAACTGTTAGAGTATATGGATAGGACTCTAGCATCCGTTTGTTATACTAGATACTTGAGATCTAAGTCTTGCACTCGTATATATACTGATCCCCGAGGCTAAATACAATAACTCAATATTTGCAGTATATCTCTCTCCCTATACTATTCAACATATCATCAAGGCATCATCTAATCTCCATATGTCTACCAGCATGCTAAACAATGGCATGAAGAGCCTGGAGAGACACGAGAACACAACAAGAATATACAGATGAACAATATGGAAAATAATACATCAAATGATTCAGTTCCAGTTCATCACATGCCATGTCAGTAAGTGTGAGTTGGCTAATGGTAGAGGCAACCATTTATCTTTTACATCAGAAGGAGTTCATTCTACTAATCTGCATATGAAGACCGCATAAGGGGATTGCCATGGTGTTGGATTTTTTTGAAGAGTAACAAATGAAGCAAACAAATGCTCACCTAGAAGGTCTATTTGTTCCCCCCAAAATTTTGACATCATGCATCCTCACCCTATGAGTTGAATACAACACTTGGAATTGTTATTGTTATATCCTTGTTGGTGGAAGTCATAGTTACAAAAGGATAGCCGTGTAAACTATTACACAAGACAAAATTCACATATGTACTCCACAACAAATGTTCCCTTAGTTCCAAAATATAAGGCACCCACAATTTTAGGAAAATCAACATTTGTAACTTTTGACTAATAATTAAGCATATAATTATATATTTAGTGCCATGCATGCAATATCATTAGATCATATTTGAGAGTAGTTTTACATGATGTTAATGTTATAGTTGTTGATAATATATTATGAAAGAAATCAACAATCATTTTAGACCATGAAAAAAACATTAACACCTTATAGTTCAGGACGGAGGGAGTATATCAAATATTTTCTGTATTTTTTTGAAGAAAAAGCAGGAGCTCTGCCATTTTATATATTTAGGTAGAAAAGGAGTGCAGCCAGGGATGGAGCTAGGTAGGAGAGGGGGGGGTGCCCAGGAACTGATCAAGAAATATTTTTAGCTATAGTTCATCTATTTTCACCATATGTGCACCCCCTAATCCAAACTCAGACACCCGTATTAGTCTAAACTTGGTCTAAAGTAGAGTTAAGCAAGCGAGTGGCACCCCTCTCCATTTCGTTCTAGCTCCGCCCCTATGTGCAGTGTTCAGTACAAAGGCCTTGCATTACAATAAAAGACATGGACAACTTAATTATAAGAGGTGCTTATAACAAGAGAACTAGTATGTAAAATTTCAAGCATCAACTCTTTGGTTTATATCTTGAATCACCAATACAGCAACTAGCTCTTCAGTTTGATGAACATCTTGGAAAGCTCTTCTAGTTCTGTCTAGCCAAATGTTCCACCAAGTTACAATGAGTGCCCCATTACTCCTCTTCATTTGCTCCTTTGGTTTTAATGGCAAAAGGGAGAAAGGCCCAGGGGCTTCCGGCTAGCACCACAAGGTGTGGGTTAACCAACCCAGGTTCGAGCCTCACCAGTCACCGCTCTCTTAATAAATTTTGATATGAGAGCTCTTCCTCTCATATCCAGCACTTTTGAGAAAGTCCTAGGGGTCTTCCGGCTAGCTGACCTAGTTTTGAGCTTTACCCCTTTCTTGGTAAATTTAGATACGAGACCCTTCCTCTCATATCCAACGTTTTGTTTTTATGGCAACAAGATTGTATATCTAGTTACCGAGTGCATAATCTTGATCAAACTATAAACACCATATTAGTTGAGCCTCTATGGATAATCTTTAGTTTTTGCCAAGCAAAATAGGGATCTTTCCTAATTTCCAACTGGACAACTGACCTGGTTCACTAGATCAAAACCAGGTGTTTTGAATCGACTTTGAAGGTTGGAATGATTCATAGATAGAGCACCTTATAACCATCGTGCTTTGTGTAAGACATGATAACTTCTACTCCAGTTGTTGCAGGAAATGAATTGTTTCATATGAAATTTGTAAGTTTTTTTTAGTGAAAGGGAAGGACCTACACTAAATATGCATTGAAGGGGAGAGAAAGAAAAGTGATTTATTGTCTTTGGGCGCAGTCTTTGGTTTCTTGGAAGCATTAACAATATGTGCACAAAATCATTACGAGTGAATACTTTGTTTTAAAACCAAAGCAAACCACAAAAAGTAACTTGTGCTACTTTGTTACAATAGCTCTTAGCCTCTTATGGTAGTTCTTTTGACATGAAAGAACTTTGAATTGATCCCTAAGATGAAACT